TTACCTACCTTATATGCTGTGCACACTGTACACCACTCTTACTCTTGCTACTTAAGTGCTTATACCATAAGCAGCTAGCTGTCGGAGCCCATTCAACACCTAACGCAGGATCTTCCTCTCGTTCATCATCCACTTCTAACACGCTCGTTCGGCTCTCTTGCATCAGGCAGACTTCGCCATATCCAAGCTAAATTCGCCTCCTCATCCGCTCGCCTGGTTTCTTGTTACACGTCCAAGGCACGGCACCGCGTTATCTTTGCCTCCAAGCTTCCTAAACGGCGCGATCTGCAGGAACCAGTCAGCGGATACGAGGGTTACCATGGCGTCCCCTCTCTGTTTAATTTATATGACCTTCCTCACAAGGCCTCATGTGCCGGGTACCCCGCGAGTCTCGACGTAGTTAATTTCGTTGTGTACCTGCTGTGTGAGGAGAGATAAAAGGCGTCGACGACCCCGGCGGGGGGGAAGGGCGAGCGCGTTGTGTCCTTGAACCTTCTACGCCCTCCAATTGATCTCTCCATCAATTCACTATGCGAGGTATTACTACCACCCTGCTGTCTGCAGCCATTGCAGCCCAGGCCGTCTTTGCAAGCCCGATTCGCTCTCGTTCACCATATGTCGTGAAGGAGACGCACAACCCACCCCGCGAATGGACGCGATTGGAACGCGCAAAGGGCGATCATGTTGTTCAATTGCAGATTGGACTGAAACAAGGCAATTGGGATGAACTGGAGAGGCAGCTCTACGAAGGTGAGACGATGCTATTTCTCGTATCTTTGGTTATCTTTAGCTCGGCAGAATTGCAATCCTTGCGGATTCATTCCAACATTGCCGGTCTTCGGTAACGCAGGTTGCAATATGGGTCAATTCGCTACGCAACACATCCCAACCATTACGACATTGTGATGGGGAGAGTGCATTTGCTGATGTGAACAAGTCTCGGATCCTGACCATGAGCGATACGGCAAGCATCTCACCGCCGAGGAAGTAAATGAGCTCGTGCAACCATCGAATGAGACCATCGACCTTGTACGCGAGTGGCTACATGAAAATGGTATTAGCGAGATGGGCTATAGCTCCGCCAAAGACTGGATCATTGTGCATCTTCCCGTCGAGTTCGTGGAGCGTCTTTTGGACACCGAATACCACAACTACAAGCACGAAGATGGGCACATTGTAGCACGTACTACTCATTGGTCGCTTCCCCGCCACCTTCACTCTCACATTGATGCAATTCAGCCCACGACTTCATTCTTCCGCGCTGCACCCAACAAGGCCGACTTCATTCAAGTGCCTCCCCAAGTCCCGGCGAGTTACAAGAAGCCAAGCAACGAATCTATATCCAGCGTCTGCAATGTCACTTCGGTGACTCCTGAATGCTTTGCAACACTGTATTCGACCAAGTGGTACAAACCCAAGGCCGCTGGAAAGAACAAGGTCGGATTCACCAACTACCTCGGTGAGATCCCAATCCGGCCAGACACGGAGCTCTTCCTGAAGAAATATCGCCCTGAGGCTGTGTCGTCCGCGAAATCGTTCAAGCAATACTCTATTGACAACGGACCCGTGCAAGATGGTCTTCTGACGGCGAACCAATCCGCGTCAGACATCAGCCACGAAGCCAACCTCGATGTCCAAGCGATTTCGGGCATCAGCTGGCCTACGCCCATTGATAGCTACTCCACCGGCGGCGAACCTCCATTCATCCCCGACCTGAGCACGCCTACAAATACTAACGAGCCGTATTTGGCGTGGGTCAACTGGCTTCTAGAGCAAAAGAACATCCCGCAAGTGATCAGTACATCGTACGGCGAGCCAGAGCAATCCGTCCCGAAATCCTACGCCGATCGCGTATGCAAACAATTTGCACAAGTCGGCGCGCGGGGTACTTCCCTCCTATTCTCCAGCGGCGACCGTGGTGTCGGGGGAACTAACAAGTGCTTCACCAATGACGGCAAGAACACGTACCAATTTCTGGCCGACTTCCCGGCTGCATGTCCGTTTGTCACCACTGTTGGTGCAACTATGAACTTCGAGCCTGAGGAGGCTGTCTACAGACCCGCTAGGAACGATTCTGCAGGCGTGTTTCATGACTTGTATGCCAGTGGCAGCGGATTCAGCACGTATTGGGAGAGGCCGAAATACCAGGACAAGGTCGTCCCCGCGTACATCAAGAGCCTGAACGGCCAGTATGATGGTTTGTACAATAAAGGTACGCGCCCATTCCCACCTCCCCTCCTCACAACCGACTCAACTAAGTAATTAATTCACTCTCTCTAGCTGGCCGTGGTTACCCCGACGTCTCCGCCCAAGGCCTCTGGTTCGCCTATTTCTGGAACGGCACCGAGGGCGTCATCTCCGGTACCTCTGCCTCAGCACCCTTAACATCCGGCATCATGGCGCTCGTCAACGACGCGTTAATCGCGTCCGGGAAATCCCCGCTCGGATTCATGAATCCCTGGCTGTACTCAAAGGGATACAAAGGTTTTACGGATATCACAAAGGGATCTAGTCATGGGTGTAATACTGATGGGTTCCCGACCAAGGAAGGCTGGGATCCGATCACTGGGTTTGGGACTCCGGTATGTATTTTCGTCTTGATGGTAGTGAGAATGTTGCTAATGAACGGTTTCTAGAATTTCCCGGAGTTGGTGAAACTTGCGGGCGCGGATTGCGATTGGTAATGGATGTAAGCTTTGCTGTACTGCCTTTCCGCTCCAAAAGGGCGTGACGTGAGGGTTGCGATGTTCAACCAACCCATTCTTGCTGTAGTAATTGAAAGTATTAAGGCTACCTACCTTCAAGCTGCAACTGTGATGAGCTCCTCCCAGTGCCTGTTGCTGTAAACATCCACAGATCGGACTGAGAGCAGAAGCAGCATCCCCCATGGGTCATAACATCAGTATGTTTCTTCGAATTGTATTCATATATACTTGGTACCAAACCATGGGAAGTATCCACAACGACAAAACATTACCGCGGATACCTTGAGCAATGTGTAGCATTGACCTTTTCTCTGATGTAGTAGTATTGACTTCTTACCAGCTCGTCTGTTCTCCAGATTCGGCTTGGCTGACACCATGTTGACTTGAGAGGGTGTGCGGACGTATTAAAGAGCCAATTCGGCGCCATTCGAAGTGGCGACATCAGGATTAGGATAATACCAAGCCGCCACAGCGACAATAACGTAGATAATCTAAATCAGAGTCAGACAGGTGGGTTTCCACAAGCACCATGAATCAAATCTATACCCATGGAGTGCAGAAACAAAACATACCATCAACAAAGCACCCTCAAGATAATTTGACTCCCCATCCCGCAGAAAGTTGCCCACTACAACAATCGAGAGGACCAACAGCACAATCATGAATATCTCGAAATTGAGATCCATGTCCTTGCCCATTATCCAGCCGACAATGACGACCAAAGGGGCGTTGAAAAGGGCAGTTTGGATCGAGGGGCCGATGCAGTGGAATAGTGCGAAATTCTATTTATGGCTGTCCGTTAGCCATTTCTTTCCCTTCCTTTTTTTTTTTTTTTTTTTTTTTTTGGAAGAAGACTCAAGGGAAAGGGAAAGACGAAGGCGAAGAGAAGACGTACCATCTGCCCATCCCACGCCTCATCCACAGCCGTCAGATGCTCCGCCGCCTTCTCCACCAATGGCAACAATATCAGCCCCAGAAATTGATCCGGCACGCCCGCCTCAACCACATCCTCGATCCTCTCCACCAGGAAAACAGCAAGTAGAGTGACAAGTGTCAGCGCAATCACTAGCGCAACAAGGCATTCTGTGAATGTGAATTTGGGCTTGTTGAGATCGTTTTCGCGGTCCAGATCGTGGTGTTCGTCTCGCTCGAGGACTTCGTCAAATATTGAGTGTTGACTGCGGGCGTTGAAGAATATGTATCTGTGACGTAAGCGTAGGTCGTTAGTTCAAATTGGGGATATACTGGGCGAGGAATTCGTTGTCTTACATCCCGAAAGCGAGGATCAGCAGGATTGAACAGACCTGGCTGATTTTGAGGACATTGCGCTGCAGTATCTCCTCGGTGAACTTTGCATGTCCATGGGGGCCTTCAACCGCGGAGCTCTTAAGTGCGGAATAGTACGCGCTTGGAATGAGTAGTCCAAACCCGGCGATGCAAAGCAGCCCATTCCCGACTTCACTGATTGCAGCGTGGAATCTTTGCGTCGATTGCCTTAGCCCACCTACGAAAAAGCAAGCTCCCAGACAAAGAAGCAAGTTGGTTAGAATGGATCCTAAGATGGCGGCCTGAATGACGGGAATCAGATTGCCGTGTTCGGAGCTGCCGTGTGGGGCCTTGTGCTTGGAGATTAGGATGAGGAAGAGGATGATCTCGACGATGGATCCAAACGCCGTCTCAATGAGGATCCCAGACACCTTGGGCATCTTTCTCGCGAATTCCTGGCCGGCGAAACCCAGCAGATTGGCGACTGGGACCATGGCGATGTACGAGAAGGCGAATATCGTCAATGGAGCCCCTGGGAGGGCATAGTGTAGGATAATGGCAACGGGCACGAAGACCCACAGAAGATTGACCCATTTTCCAGCAGTACTGGAGCTGCGCCAGGAGACATCGAGGAAAAGCGCAGGACTGAAGCCGCTACGACCGCTCTCGCCTTCTTGGGGGACTTCAACACCAATGACACGATGGAGAAGGGGCTGGGTCTCCGAATGGTTGTTGGAGTAGCTCATCTTGCCCTTCAATTGTCGCGATTGAACAGCTTGGAGGAGGATCCTGATGGTTTGAAAGCTGCGGAAGCGTGAGGTCGAGACGGCACGAAAAGCGGGGGGCTGGTGTCTGGGCAGCAGCCATCGGTCCTTTCCAGGATTTCCAGACCGCAATTACTTTTCTCTTGGGCATCCAACAATCGGGTGCTGTCAGAGATCCTACTCTGAAAAATCAAAGTGGCTGTCAATGGTCACATCGCGAAGTCAACGCGTTGTCACGACGCTGTCATCGTCCAAACGTGCTCGAATAGCATGACCTTGTTCGGCATTTCGGGACGAAGATACCCCCCCTGCTCCAGTGTACTCCCCTGCACCACACCATCTGGCCCGACTCCTACTTAACTCTTTCCAAGGTTTCCTCGTGCCTGTTCATCAACTCCCCCCAAGGAAAGCCGGAGAGCCCAAACCAAACTCAACTCATTAATCCGGGCTTAATTAATTAACCCATCAATTATATCCAGGCTGGTCCCGGAATCTGACTTGTAGACTTGGAGAACTATGAATCTTCCGGTCACTAAATTTCGACGATGGATGTTTTAAAGAGCCTGGAGGTGACGCTCTGGCAAGCACTGGTGTTTCTTGCCGAGCTCTTTCGCTTCAGTGAACAAAGATGCTCTTCCTTGAATTTCTGCTTGGCTGTCTGGCCCTGTTCAACTTCACCCTCGCAGCGGACAATGGCCTTACGAAGGTCGTGTCGTGGGACAGCCACAGCTTGCTCATCAATGGAGAAAGGGTCATTATCATGAGCGGAGAATTCCATTACCAGCGGCTTCCAGTGCCTGAGCTCTGGCTTGACGTGTTCCAGAAATTCAAGGCCAATGGCATGAACGCCGTCAGGTTGGCTCCCCAAACTATCCCTTCCGAATTCGTAGATAATTTATTTGTTTAGCATCTACTTTTTCTGGTCCTACCACTCCGCCTTCCGCGGAACCTACGACTTCACGACCCCAGGAAAAGATATCCAGCTCATGCTGGACATGGCCAAACAAGCAGGCCTCTACGTTATCGCACGACCAGGCCCATACTGCAACGCCGAAACCAGCGCTGGTGGTCTTGCATTATGGACTAGCAATGGAAGCGGAGGGAAGCTTCGCACATCAGACGAAACATACCGGCAAGCCTGGTCAGAGTGGATTTCAGAAGTTAGCGTGATTCTCGAGAAGAATCAAATCACTAAGGGCGGCCCTGTTATCATGGTGCAGGTGGAGAACGAGCTGCAAGAGACCAAATATGTTGCTACCGACACGTTGGTAGTGTATATGGAACAATTGAAGACCGCGTTCAGGGCTGCAGGCATCATTGTCCCATTATCCTCCAACGAAAAGGGCATGCGATCAAAGAGCTGGTCAACCGACTACAACAATGTTGGAGGGACAGTCGATGTATATGGTCTCGACAGCTATCCAGGAGGTCTGAGCTGCACAAACCCAGACTCTGGCTTTAATCTCCCGCGGACTTACTATCAATGGTTCCAAGAAGTTTCATTCACGCAACCCGAATCCATTCCAGAATTCGAAGGCGGTTGGTTCCAGCCCTGGGGAGGGTATTTTTACGACCAATGCCAAGCAGAGAAAAGTCCGGAGTTTGCTGATGTGTACTACAAAGGCGTTATTGGGCAACGCATTACACTTTTGAATCTATACATGGCGTTTGGCGGAACGAATTGGGGGCACAGTGCTGCACCAGTCGTAGGCAGTCCTTTACATAATATTTCTAAAGCTAAAGAAATTGATGAGACAAATAGGTATACACATCCTACGACTATGACGCTCCCCTCCGCGAAACTCGCGAAGTTTCCGACAAATTTAAACATTTCAAACTCATATCGCTCTGGACCCGCGTCAGCACCGGCCTTCAGAAAACCGTCATGGAGAGCAATGGAACGGGAAACGTCGTCAACACTTCCGCGATCTGGACTTGGGTGTTGAGAAATCCCGATACAAAAGCTGGATTCTACCTTGCAGAGAACAACAGCACTAAATCCCGAGCAGTGACGAATTTTGCAATGACTGTTAATACATCGCTGGGTAAAATCACAGTTTCGACGATGCAATTGAATGGCCGTCAGAGCCGGTGGGTGGTAACGGATTACTCAATCGGAAACATAACGCTGCTCTATTCCTCAGCTGAGATACTCACATACGGCATATTCAGCCACCCAGTCGTAGTCTTCTACCTCAAAGAGGGCCAGGTTGGAGAATTCGCCTTCCATTCCTCAGACCAGAACATCACTTTCCAGACGTACGGGCCAAACTCTAACGTCCAGGCTGCACCCAGCAGCAGCTCAGCCAAGTACACCCGATTCACTTACACGCAACCCAAAGGCTCAACAATTATCCGCTTCTCCAACGGTGTCCTCGCGTATCTCCTCGATATCCCCACCGCCTACACATTCTTCGCTCCCTCCACTTCCTCAAATCCAAACGTGCAGCCCGGGCAACAAATCTTCGTTCTAGGGCCTTACCTAGTCCGCACCGCCAGCATCTCCGGAACCACTGTTCACATCATCGGCGACAACGCAAACGCAACAAGCATAGAGGTATTCAGCGGCAATCTATCCATCGAAACAATATCTTGGAACAACAAAATCCTCTCCACAAAACGCACGCCCTATGGCGCGCTCACGGCCTCCATCCCAGGGACCTCTGATCGCAAGATAAATCTCCCATCTCTAACAGCCTTCAAATCTGCAGACTCGCTCCCCGAAATCTCCCCCGCATATAACGACAACACCTGGACCATCGCCAACAAAACCACAACTCTCAGCCCCGTAAAACCACTCACTCTCCCCGTCCTCTTCAGCAGCGACTATGCCTTCTACACCGGCGCCAAACTCTACCGAGCCTATTTCTCTAATCCCTCCGCCTCATCCCTAAACATAACAGTCCAAGGCGGGTTAGCCGCTGGCTGGAATGCCTGGCTAAACGGGAAGCTAATCGGGGCCCACCCAGGGAATGCTTCACTCACTTCCACCACGGCCGTACTCTCATTCCATGACGTGTCATTGAAAGGATCCGGAAACGTGTTGACAGTAGTAACCGACTACACTGGCCACGACCAAACCTCGACCGGCCCTGCAGGCGGTGAGAACCCACGCGGAATCCTTGGAGCTACACTTCTGTCTTCCACCAGCACGGCGCTCCAGTTTGATAAATGGAAGATTCAGGGTAACGCTGGTGGCGAGAAGAATATCGATCCCACGCGCGGGCCTATGAACGAAGGGGGTTTGTACGGCGAGAGATTGGGATGGCATTTACCTGGTTTTGATAACAGTGCCTGGGAAGAAGGGAGTCCATTAGAAGGACTCAAGGGGTCGGGGATAAAGTGGTATACGACGACGTTTGAGCTGGATATTGATGAAGATTTGGATGTTCCGGTCGGAGTAGAGTTGGGCGCGCCAAAGGGCACGGTAGCCAGGGTTTTGCTGTTTGTGAATGGGTATGTGAATCTCATTCCTCTTATGTACTTTCTCCGCTTCGGGGATTTCCGTCCAAGCCAGTGTCTTGCATATTATTCATCGAAAACTGTAACGCTGACGAAGCCAAAGCTACCAGTACGGTAAGTTCGTTCCGCATATTGGACCGCAGACGCGCTTCCCAATCCCTCCCGGCATCCTCAACACGCGCGGGAAAAATACGCTGTCGTTAGCGTTGTGGGCGCAAACGGATTCTGGTGTGAGACTGAGTACTCTGAGGTTGTTTGAGTATGCGAGGTATGAGAGCGGATTTGGGTTTGGCAAGATTGATGGGAAAAGACTCCAGCCCGGGTGGGTGGATAGAAGCCAGTATGCTTGAGATAGTAGAGAAGAAAAGAGATTTGAGCAGACTGATCCAGGGTACTGAAAAGTTGCGACGTGATCTTCTTAGTTGCTAAAATTGAATGAGATTGCTGGTAGGATGGCCGCTTGTGTCCAAATTCATTCCGGCACCCAGGTAGCGGGTGTTCCTGTATATGCATATTAATAATTAGCAATCTCGATCATGGAGCAGGGACAATGATAAGAACCGGGCGACAACCGTCCGAATTTGGGGTACAGGGCCTAGAAATGGGTGCGGTTGATCTGTATGATGTCCATTGAGGAAGTTTGGCTTGTTCACTCACCGTTCTCATAACTTTCTAGCATCTGCGTATACACTCTGAAAAGAAACGCGAAGTTGTTTCTCCTCTAAAGATGCTTGGATGGTGTTAGCAACCATCCTGCAGTGAAGGAAATCTTGCAGCCATAGGGGAAGTGTTCCATGATTTGCTTCGAGCAGTAAGTGGAGAATGAACGTGAGATATTAGAAGACTGCCTAGCGTGGGTTATATTGCTCACATGCATCAATGAGGAGAAATTGAGGAGAATGAAACGAGTGAAAAGAACAAAAGTTTGGGTATATTCTCTATTATCTTGGGGTATTGGTATGCATCTAGATAGCTGGATTTCCTGGGTATCATGATATTGGTTCTTCAGATTAGTATTACAACGGAAGAATGTCGAGGATGTCGCTTAGGTAATTATCGTGAATTGTGGTGAAGGAGGCCGTTGTCGCATTAGGAGGGCCGAAATCAAGGACGAAGCCGTTGCTACGTGGAGCGCCATTTGCTGCGTAGGACTATTGCTGCAAAAAAAAAAAGCCTCCGAAATGAACGACTTTTGGCATCCGATGACATGGAGAGGGGAGAAGGCGTTTAGGTTTAAGCAAGGTACCCCTACGAGATCCGATCGAACGATGGCATTACAGTATCCCTCTAAAGAAAATTCTCCAAATTCCATCGCCCCTATGTTGAAAGGGGAAAAAGCAAGGAATAGGCCGAGATGTTGAGTTGTATGAGGTTGACGCGGCCTAGTTGAACAGACCTTCTCCACACCCACATACCCAAATGGAGGGAATAGAAGCGGTTTTTCTTGAGAAGGCGGAAAATTCTACATTTAAATCGGCTCATCTCGAGGCTCAATCAATACCTCGTTTACTGCAACATGCTCAGGCTGCTTCAACGCGTACACAATCGACTTGGCCACATCTTCTGGGTCCAAGATCTTGGCTCCTGATGGCTCGCCATATTTCTTGATTGCCTCTGTATCCGTCGACATTCCAAGGAGATCGGTGGCTGTATTGCCAGGCTGTACGCTCGTGACACGAAGACCCTTTCCAGCCGTCTCGAGGCGTAAGCTTTGTAACGTAGCCTCGACAAAGAATTTGCTTGCCGAGTAGACACCCAAGCCAGGGAAGACTTTGCGACCTGCATCCGAAGATATGGCGACAATGTGCCCCTTGCCACGGGAAAGCATCGGGGGGACGGTCGATGAAAGAATGTTGAGCAGGCCTTTGCAGTTGACATCAACGGTACGATCCCATTCCTCCGTCTGCACATTCTCCATCAGAGTCCAGTACATTACTCCTGCGCATGAAACAACAATATCGACTGGGCCAAGCTCATCATTTGCGGTTTTGAAGAGCGTTTCTACTTGCTTCCGATCGGTCACATCGGTCTGGTGGACGATGACCTTGCCTTCACGGACCACGAGCCTACGCTTGACGGCTTCTAGGGCGTCGGTGCGCCGAGCAGCAAGAGCGATGTGGCACCCTGCTCTCGCCAGTGCAGCGGCAACGGCGGCGCCTATACCGGAGCTTGCTCCAGTCACCACAGCCACACGTCCACTCAATGGTCCTCGGCGTGGGAGCTGAGCAGATCCACCAAGAGCATTCAGCCGTGAAGGCGGCCGAGGCAGCCAACCTCGAGCAAACCAGTGCCGTGTATACGTCTCGAGCAACGTGATATCTACCTTAGGCCTCTCAACGACGTCTCGGAAAGGCCTAGTCTTTGCGTTGTTGAGGACAACGATACCCCGCAAAAAGTCGACGCTCGGCATGCCGCTGCGAAGGATATCGACTGTAAACGAACCATCACCACCTTTCACGGAACTTCTTTTCTCAGTCCAAAGAGCGACCCACTCATCCCAGCCCAGAGGTTTCGTCGGATATCCGAGCTTATTGAGGTCGTCAAAGACGACCCTGGTATCGACAGGGGTAGGATCACCAAGGTGAAAGACGACTTGGTCTGCATGATTCTGGTTGCTAAGATGGAGAATGGCTTTGCTGACAAAGTCCACTGGAGTCATCTCAGCTCGCCATCCTTCTACGTTCGGAGCAAAGCCAAGGTGGATAGACTCGACAATTAAGGCATTAAAAAGATCCCATGCGTTCACTGCACCAGATGCACTATGCCCTGATATGGTTCCGGCTCGGTGTATGCGGACCGGCAGACCTCTACGACCCGCTTCAAGAATAAGCTGTTCCGCGACCCATTTGGTCTGGCCATACCCATCAAGCAGCTTCTCTGGCACGTCGTCCACGCCGAGCATAGCATCTTCCGGCCAGCCCTCCTGGGATGGTGGCAGCACGCCATTTGTGGACACATGTTGGACTGTGCAACTCCCAAGGCACGCCAGGCGGAGAATCTCTTTTGTACCGCCAATATTGGGTCTTCTCAATGCGGCATATGGGTAGACTAGATTTACAGTCGCGGCTGCGTGGACAATGACCTGTACACGCCCGGCTAGCTCTTCAAAGGCTTCTGGAGAAAGACCGAATCGTTTTCGAGACAAATTTCCTGGGAGAATCTCAACTCGCTCCATGATGGAGTCGCTCCATAACCCAAAATCAAGCAGATTCCTACGTACTCTTGCGATGCCACCGGGCCTATCATCTTGGGCTGGATCGTTGAAACGCACGAGGCATATAATCCTCGCCGAGGTGTTTTCCAACAAGTCATTGAGCAAAAAGGCTCCCAAGAAACCTGTGACACCTGTCAAGAGGACCGCCTTTGCTTCCTTGAGTGAGCATATTTTAGCATTGGAAGGTTGAATATCCTGGTCCAGAATCGAGTCGGCGCGCAAGACGGCAGGCAAATCTGCTTGAATCGCGGCGGTATGTCCGTCCCTAACGTTTCGAACTGTTTCCAGGTGTCCATTTAAAGTTGCAGGATCGGCAAGACGAGCCACTGGGACTCTAAATCCGAACGCACTCGATATTCGCGAAGCAAGGTCGGCAAGAGACAGACTATGTCCACCCAAGTCGAAGAAATTGTGTTCGGGAGTTATTGCGCTTGTAGAGATATTGAGCGTTGCAGCCCAAATCTCGGTCAGGGCTTCGGTAGTGATGGGGTCCTCGGTCTTTGACTCATTTATATTATTGGGTGACTTGGATCTCGGAGGTGGTGGGAGACGCTTCAGATCGGCCTTTCCGGAAACGTCATGCGTTGGTAACTCGTCCAATTCAACCCACAAGCTTGGGATCATATATGCTGCCAGATAGGGCGAGAGTGTTCGACGCGCTGCCGGGCTATGGCCTGAGTCATCAATGTCAACAATCGGGCGGTTAGCAGTGTGCTCCTTGTCACGGACAATGTATGCCACCAATTGTCGTTCCAGGCCATCACCGTAGGCGACAACAGCGCAGTGCCTGACAGCCAGATGGCCAACAATGGCATTTTCGACTTTACCAGGAACTACCGAGTACCCTCGAAGCTTAATCATGGCTCCTGTCCTTCCAGTGATTTCCAATAGTCCCGATGGTAGCATCCGGGCTCGGTCCCCGGTCCTATACATGCGTGATCCCGGTCTCGAGTCAAACGGGTTCGGGATGAATGCTTTTGCAGTAGTCTCTGGAAGGTTGAGGTAACCCCGCGCGAGGAGAGAGCCACCGACGAACAATTCTCCGCTAACTCCAACTTCGACTCTTTGCCCACTCTCGTCAAGGATATGAATGTGTCGAGGATCCATTGGCGGGCCCACTGGACAATAGATTGCATCCTCTTCAATCATGGCAAGCATCTCCCCAATGTCACCACATGCAATCTCATGGGTTTCACATGCACTGTAGCAGTTGAGCAAGCGTGTCTTTGGCAATGCCTTGAGAGCTCGACGAGCCAGATCGGTGGTGACGACTTCGCCATTTAACCAGCAGGTCTGCAACTTTGGGAGACGTGCTCCGAGGCATTGGTGGCGTGATAAAACGGCGGCCAAAAGGGTCGGCGTCATGAGGGTCTCCGTGATGTCTTTGGAGGAGAGAAGATCCACGAGTAGCACCGGGTCGTAACTTACATCATCTGGGACGGCAACAACAGTCGCTCCTCGGAGGAGTGGGCGTAAGATTTCCCAAATAAAGAAAACATTGCAGGCTACGCGGTCGCCTGGCTGGAGATCCGACACGCCGAATCTTAATTCATACGAGCGTACGGGGGCTCTGTGGGGGTTGGCGATACCTTTGGGTTTCCCCGTCTGGCACTATTAGCAGCAAGTGGCAACGGCAATGTCTGGGAAGGTTACTTACGGTGCCTGATGAATAAGATACCTGGGATTCTATTAGCGGCGAGAGGAACAACGAAACAGTCGACCCTCACTTACGAAAGCAAGGCGGTCCAAGTCGCCTTCGGAGGGCAACGGGGTGGGCTCTTTCACATCTCCATTGACTCCATCTGTTTCCGAAGCTTCTTGATCGAGAGTAACGAGGGGAATACCTGATTGGATCTTGCCCAGTTCCGCCCTGTATGTGACAACCACTGCTGGGTTTGCATCGGCAATGACATCGGCCAAAAGATCTGGAGGATAAGCTAGCTCCAAGACTAGAAATGCTCCCCCTGCGCGAAGCGCAGCAAGACAGGAAATCACGTAATCTGCACTACGCGGCAGAAGCACACCAACGAGCGCGTCTCGACCGACTCCATGACCACGGAGGCAGCGAGCAAGGGCAGCGACCTTGTCATGAAGCTCGGCATAGGTATACGTCGTTGTCTCGTCTTCTAGAGCAATAGTATCGGGGGTAGCTTGTACCTGTCGCGTGAAGAGCGCGGAAAGGTCCCTGGTGACATCAATGGTGGGCATTATTTTCGTAGCCATGTAAGGGCAAGGAAGGCGGTCTCGTGAGAAGTTGCTTGACTTAGGATAGAAAGAAACGAAATTTATTGCTCCATCGGAGTTGAAAACTCGGCAAGAAAAGCAAAAGGAGGTCCCCGATCTGGAGACAGCCGCCGACGTCGAGAATTAGCTTTGTGGGGGTTGCACGACCACTAAGAACGCATTGAATCTAACGAGTTCGCCTGTCGTGGTCCTTGGCCTTCTGACGTATTCGCCACTCCCAATGCTTTCCTAGCGTGCTGAGAGAGGCAAAGGCGAATGCAAAACGAGAAGTGACAGCCTATCCCGCGTCTAGGCTCTTGGCTCAACGTCAAACCTTCATTATTCACATGCTCGAACAACGTGGATGAGGACGAGATAGAACAATGGAAGACTTTATAACGCCATGTTTAGTGCCCAAAATGCCAACCAGGACGCAGCCTGTCCTTTATTCGCCGCTTTCGATGGATGGACGGGAATATGTCGTGATCTTCCACCACTTGCTTGGCATCATCTAACATCTTCGGCCGAGGATTTACGGCCTCATGACACTGATCAGCGCCGTAGTTGCAATAAGAGCTCGAATGCTGTAACTGATCCACTGGGGGTTCTGTGCAGAGAACCAGATGGCCATCTTGCAGAGCAGAGGGCATGTACATACAAGGCATTGGACTGTCCTTGATTTAGCAACTTCAGCATGATCGCAGATATCCTGTCTGGTCGCAGAAGTCTGCGACCATCTCGAATGGATATTCCGCAAAGACGTCAATTGAGGCGAAATTGGGGAGTTGGAATCAACTTGCTCAGATCGTTTGTCATGTCATAGGTGTAAGCAGTTGCCCGACATTGCATTTGCGCGTCCCAAATGGGTGAGGGTAGTATAAGAGAAGTAAAGAGGGGAGAGAGTAGCATGAAAGTTAAGAAAGTATTGACTGCCCTTTATTTGAAGATCTCATTTCCAAATCGATAGACCCATTTTCACAGACATGTTGTGGGGCAAAAGAATTGTGCGTGGTCTGAAGAAAGTGATTACAAACCAGTCATGTCACACCTAGCTTGATGGGTTTTCCGAAATCCGGTTCTTCAGAATAGATTGCGCTGGAGAAGGAAGAGATACTAAGAAAAATCGACAAAGAGAGGTGTACAATGAGAAGGCGTTCTGGCTATGTGACAAAAATACCAACCTCGGATTCGAGCAAAAGCCCTGTCTCCAACTAGGATTCGCTGGGGTCTCATGTACAGTACATACAGCGGAAATCTCCATATTCTCGACACCCATCTTTGATTCTAGCGACTGGGTTGGTTAATCAAAGTGTTCCTTTTAATGTCATGCAGGGTGGTCTAGGCCTTGAACTCGCAACCCTTCCTGCCTTACAATGCTGACTGGTCATGGGGCTGTCTGTTCCATGGTGAGGAGGATGATGAGGTCGAAGAGGAGCGGCGTGTAGACTGGGACAGATGGCAGTAAAGAGGTGCGTTTCGGGTTCTGGCCAACTTCCAACTTCCTCTGCATGCTTCTTAGTCGCTGTCATTGGTTGCTTCTGTTTCGACTCTGATGCTTCGAGAAGGTGGTACAGGTGGTTAGGGTACCGCAGCCTCCGCTCCATGTGAAAGGCGAGTAGACCTGAGTTATCAGCAGTGAGATCCAACGGTGCAAAGGAACACCAGTTTGCTAGATGATCAAACTCAACTAAGCTCACTCGCATTCTTATTACATCGCATAGGCTCACATTCTGCTGGGCATTGTCGCTCCGCGCTGTTTTGACCAATGGAAGCCAATCTCACCCACACTGGGTTCGACTTGCGCGTTCCTTCAGGCCTTACCAAGCCCCATAACGTAGGTCCAGAGTGCTGGAAAGCGGTGAGAAAGTGCGCAGAAATTGAGGATAGAGTTTCGCTTGAAGAGCAAGTCAAGCCACATGGGCTTGGCTTTCTTGGACACCCAGTGTCTCACCCTAACATCAGACGAGTTCTCGAAGCTCGACTCTCTAAGTCGCTGCGTTTGAATCCAAGATCGAACGATCAACCCTAGACTGCGTTATTGGTCCTCAACACCGCCGAGATGTGAATCTCTGTTCTCTATCCCTGAATGGCAAAGCCGTTATCTCAAGGCTCCTTTCTCTATTGCTTCACAAAAAGGTCACATCCACCCAGACACCGAAATTGGGCGAATACGCATCCAACGCGAAGCGGAATGCGTTCGGCATGTAATTCCCTTTGACAGCGGGCGGCTGTCGTCCCGGGCCGAGCCCACACCCGTGACCGGTGAGTGTAACGCCTTGACAATGTGGGAAGCTGCACATGAATCACACGAATCCTCCAGATCCTGTGCCACTCAGCTTTGTCAGACGCTACTCAGCTTCTTCATCTACACCCTCGATCTGAGCGCCCTGCTCCATGCCAGAGCGCAAACTCCTTCACATGGAGTCGGCCGAACTTACCTTGCAACGGAAGTCAGCCAATTGAAGGTGCCTTGCCATGTCCAAGAAATGGAGAATATCTCAGGAGTTGTCTCCACAAGGCTTGCAGTCGGGTTGGAGTCCCAGGACGGGCGTCGATAACGAATTTGGAAGCGAGATGCGGGGCGAGCCCGGTTCAGACGCTAACGCTAAACTGTAAGAGGAATGAGACGTGGGAGATCCTCCACGAGGACGAGATGAGACGCACGTTGTTGTGTGACCGAGAATTCTCCTGTGACCTGCAGAGTCATGCATAACTGCGCTCTTGCTTCCTTATAGGCTAACTTTTTCAACAAACTTTTCTTCCTCTGCCCAATCGGCGATAGGGTTACAGATGGCTGTCGAACACTTGAACTTTTGCACCTCACATGTCTCTCGCCTTTCTGCTTTGGGATAGTGCTACTTCAGGCCGACTCATGCGGGACTTTGCTAAACGAGACATTGTGGAGAGATTGGAACAGGATAAAACATTTCCGTCCTTGTTCGCAGTCCCCTGGTGCTTGATCCCTAGGCTGATAAGATTTTCGCGAGCGCCTTCAAGTTACTTCAGACGCGAAGTCTTGCGGCACAGCTGCGGCACAGCTACGGCACAGCTGCGTGACACCCTCCTCCTGGACCAGTCCTGCAGCCAGAGCAAGCAGCCTGTGAACTTGACTGGATTCTTAGGTGAGAACTGTAATTACCTGGAACATCCATGGAACAGGGCATGGATGGAGTTCACCTCCCACCTGATGCTCTTCTTGCCGACCACACCTTGCGATTTCAGGATCTATGAATATCTCCTTGAGATGTCTGCCTCGCAGGTTCCCAGGCAGGATTGGGTTCATATTTCAAGCCTTATCTAGAGGCTCGTACCTGCCATTTGCCTCACAACTTTCTTACAGTATTGGCGTCTCGACCCGAACAATAAGAGCTGTCTTTTGATCTGACAAGCGAGTTGCTTGAATCAAGGGTGTTAAGAGTATGCAGATTTTCACTGTAGATAATTGGTACCTGTAGGGCAAAGCCTCGCGTAGCACAGGTATCATTACTCGATTTCTCATAATGCTCTTCTGAATGGCTTCCGCCTCCATGGGTCTTGACTCTCAATAATTGGGCCTTTCCCTGCTGTGACTAGCAGCTCGCGTCATATGCCACACACAAAACGATCCCCCACAATGAGCAAGCTGGAGAAAGCTTATCAAGGGTGAAGATCCCTCTTAGTGCAGTTCACTCCTTTTCATGCACTAGGTACCTCCTGTGGAGTTTGTGCCACATCGCTCGGCGCACGCTCCCAATTCTATCCGAGAATAGATCCCTCCTCAAGGCTAGTTATATCTACTTCTCCTCCAATGCTCTACAGCCAAATATGCGGCACCCGTCGACTGCACCCCCAGAAAGGTTCCCCCCAAATTAACTGTGATTCTACCAATGGCACTCGGTCATCGCGCGGTAGAGGCCGCTGTTGTATCAAGCATCTTTGCAGCACTAGGTACCATTGCTGTGGCCCTTCGCCTCTGGACTCGTCTTGTCATTATTCGAGCCCCTGGAATCGAAGATGCTATCATTGTAGCATCCTGGGTAAGCCTCCCTCCCACGTTTTCGTTCTCCGTGCCACTACTAATACCTTCAGATGTGTGCGGTGGTCACGGTGATTACAATCGGAATGCGTAAGTCAACTGCAAAGGTCGACAGTTCATGTACTAACCTCTACCTTTCAGAAATCGTCCACGGATTAGGCGAACATGTGTCTACACTAAGTGGTGACGATACAACCCAACTGCTTTTTGTGTGTTCGATAATATATCCTGTTTTCCTCTCACACGACCTGACTTATCTTCTAGAACTTCTACATCAGCATCAGCACATATTGCGCCTCTATCGGCCTAACCAAGACCGCTATCCTAGTCCAATACCTACGAGTCTTCCCCACGCGCACGTTTCAGATCTGGTGTTGGGCCTTCATTTTCATCGTCGTCGCCTACACTATCGCGACCGTGTTTGCCTGCATCTTCGTCTGCATTCCAGTTCAATCTTTCTGGAATGGTGATCCTAACGGGAAGTGTATCAATGAACTTGCGTCGTGGTTCTCGAACGCGGCTATTAATATCGTTACGGATTTGATGATTATCGTCTTGCCGATGCCGGTTATTAAGAATTTAAATCTTGCTAGGAGGCAGAAGAAACTTCTCATGGGGATTTTTGCTTTCGGTGGAATGTAAGTGCCTGTCCCTTACGTACTTCTCGTTGGCGCATATCCTGGAGAATCGTCAGACATACGAGAGTATTTCAGACCTACCTGCTCGGTTTTTAGAGACAGCAAGTATGCTGTCTCTCCGTCCCTTCACGTACATCACTAAGGCAAGCCCCATCCCACGTATGAGCCGACAGGACTTTCTCGGGCATTAGTGCGCAAATAAACTCTGGTTACCCCCAGCCATCCGACTAACATCTCCTAGTGTCTGTATAATCAGTATCGTTCGCCTCCACTCCCTCCTCGTAGCTACCAGATCAAAAGACACCACCTACGACAATGGCCCCGTCGCCACCTTCTCCGTCGTCGAAATAAACATTAGCATCATATGCTGCTGCCTTCCGTGCCTGCGCCCGTTGATCGCGCGCTGGATCCCTGGTCTATCGTCTACGCATTCTCGTGGCACCGATGGAAGTAGCGGATACAAGCGCTCTTCGATGTATGGAAGAGGGATGCAGCTGAATACAATAGGATCTAAGAGAGGCGTTGAGAGGCTCGAGGATGTGGAGGAAGAGGATAAGATTCATGTTGTTACCGTTGTAGATGTGCAGGTTGGTGACCAGAGAGGGGGGATAAAGGAGAGGGAGAGGGAGGATAGTACGGAGACATTATTTCGAATCGTTTGATTTTCGGGGAAGATGTCTGGAGTGTCTACGGATTGTAAAGTCTTAGGGTTGTTGGATTAATAAGCTAGGGATGGTCATGACATGATGGAATTCGGCGTATTTGGCGCCCTGGACCTGGAAACATACCCTTTGATATGTCGCTTAGATTTTCGGTAGTGTTGGGGCGTCTCTATTAAAGTTGACTATTTTAAAGATGCTGACCTGCAGCGAATGCTTTACCAACTACGAATTTCATGCTCAACAAGAGTGGTGAAGCACAAACTGCCGTCCCCACCTCATACCTGCGGACATTAAGTCCAGAACAAAGACACAAACTATTTCGAACAGTTTTTCACCTGGTGTGCGGAAACCCATTCAAATAATCTAATCTAAAGAGGGGGAGCTCGTAGATGTGGGGAGAGCGTTTTCCCGGCCGACCATGTCATGGTCGCCTGAAGCTCAGAATAAGGCCCTCCAGTTGTTCTGAATCAAATCAATTGTGGTAGATCTCTATTGGGCTCCGTGTATGCCTCTCATAAATCACCGCTAAAGAAGCATCAAGTTCTGGCCACTGCGGGAATTTGACACAACGTTTAGCTATGCGAATCACCACATGGACTCCACGGACAGCCTCAGCATCTGTATGGCCTAGCCAGATATTACAATGTCGAATGTGACAGACACCGAATTAGTGGAGCGAATTTTACATGGATATACCCAGTCACATGATCTAGGACACATTCTGAGGCGTCGTTCAGTGCTATGTACATGGAAAGTTCAAGCCTGCGAAATTTTCAACTAGGAAAAGAGTGGCAAGCAATTTTTTGACCGCTTGGGCTTTTCAGTTTACGCATCCCTGAAGGATTCCAAGATTGGTACCTGGCCGAGCAATCTCATCGCCAAACCCCTGAAACTTGTCCTACAACCCATTCCAGTTTCGCATCACTTGAAGTCCCCAATATTGTCCCGCCGGGCAAATATGGTTTTATTTTTAGATTAGGAGGCATCTATTGCCAGCTTTCTCCATTGGAGTGATGCATCCGGGCCCTCTTGTCGCGCCTTGCACACTTGGCTGTTTAGGAACCTAGACATGCCCTACGTGAGGAATGGATGTTTCCGTCCAAGTTTTAGAAAGATTCGATTAATCCCTGGGCTTTTCTTTAACAGAACTGGCCCGCATACCGCATTCACCGAACCTGAAGATGCGAGGTTCCCCGTGAATTGGAAGAAACCGGGGAGGTCTACCAAGTGTTCCCAATCTCACATAGCAATATAAGGTCCCCAAGATGACGTGTGAATTGAACGAGAGAAGTGGCAATTCCTTCTTTGGAAGATAAAAATTCAACGTTGGTATCTTGCTGCATTATTCCTATCCGTCTCGACATTAGAACGTTGCTTCATGGACGCGGCCATTGGGTAGATACAGACTTATCAGCCGTAATCACACCTGCCTTGACTTTAGGTACATAACATACGTCGGAGATGAATCTGAGCGGATTTTGTGATCAGAAAAGATTCAAGGGTTACATGTCATCTTCTTGATATCGGCAGGAGAGGAGACGAGTAAATGATTCGCTCCAAAGAGTCGGAATTGAAGGCGGGTTTTGCACTACAATAAGCCCTGGAAAGAATTAAACGGTCAACATTGTGGTATGCATGTTAAAAAAAAGGTGACATACCTGAATAAGGAATAGCTCTTCTGGCCTCCATGTACAGGTGCTATTGTGTGGTCCCAGAAAATAATCCTGTACCAAGAGGTAAGCGGCACTTGGATGGATTAGCGTAATGGAGTCTCGCCCTACTTCGGATACACCAAATTAAGCAGGGAGAAGAAGCATAAAATGAAGATTAGATAAGTCAAGGAAGCGGTTCGATTGGTCACGATGCCTGTCTGCTGCTCATAAGCAGATGTGCCGTTCTGAGCCGGGGCGAGGGTGTAGTTGGCTATGGTTTGAACTTCTGGCTTGATGCTACTGAATAGAGCGGAAGGCTTTAATATCCTGGTAGTTCGAAGAGGGCTACACCTCAGGAGACTGGAAAATGCTCCAGATGTTCGATAACACACTAAAACAGCAGATGGAAGTATGCCATGTGTGCGACTGATTTGGAGGAACTATATGTATAAGTAGCAGCTATCCAGCGAAGGACTTGGCGCCTTGAGTGTGAGAGCTCTCCCTGCAGCCCGGCTCAGCCTCGCCGCACAGAAACCAGCGGGCAGAGCAGGCGACTGTCAGCATGCTGTTTAACTGATATCTCCTCGCCCTGGTCCTTGTACCTCATCGAAGCTTCCACTCTCCGAGAACACGCTCTACCTGATCGAGCATTTAATGCTCAACCATGGTATGTAGTGGGACAAGAGGCACGCCAAGAATAACGCGGAACTAGGTCCGGCCGGTGACTGACGACGATATTGGGTTAAGGGTGCTCCGCGAGGCACCAGCGGAGGCAGCCCAGATCATCGAGTTGCGTTATTCTTACATGGTTGGCTGCCTCAGCATATACTAAATCGCCTTAGCATTATCGCAATCCACGGCATTGGGGCGCACCCAGACGACAGCTGGTGCAAGAATGTCGGCACGGCAGAAAACCCGCAGTGGGTCAACTGGCTTAAGGAGGAAAACATGCTGCCAGCAGTAGCGCCGAATGCTCGCATCATGCGATATGGATACCAGTCGCAGTGGTTTGGGGAAGGGGCAATGCGGCAGAACGCGTCGACGGTGGCCCAGCGGTTGCTGCTGGCCTTGCGGCGAGGAAGAGAGGTGCAGATCCCAGTTATCTGACATGTTATCACCGCTGACTGTTTTAGGAGTATCCGTACCGGCCACTGGTCTTTATAACGCACTGCTTCGGCGGGCTGGTTGTGCTGAAGGTAAGCAAGTGAGCTGCAATGTGACAGGGGCCACTATTAAGAGTTTACAGGCACTCGTGGATGCCCGACATGATAAAAAGGAGTGGCCTGGAGTATTTACATCAACCACTGGGTTGTTATTCTTCGGCACGCCGTTCCGAGGGGCGGAAGGAATGAGCCAGATGGAGATGCTCGACGCAGCGCAGCGGGAATATCAAGAGGACGAGGTGCAGCCAGAGATTCTGAAGATACTAGAGCCCGGGAATGAGTTCCTCCAGGAGCTGGTTGACCAATTTGGGAAGACGCGGAGCGAGGCAAACAAGGCCACGGTTGCATGCTTTTTTGAGCTCAAGACGACCAACGTAGGGCGGATTGTAGGGAAGGTGGATCGGACGGTAAATTCAGAACGGTGCTTTACACCGCACGAGGCTAACTATTTGCACAGAGATTTGTGGTGAGTGAGAGCTCTGGCTGCCTCGATCTTTCCAGTTCAACAAGCAAGTTCTCGCTTTCACGGACCCACTTTGACATGAACAAGTTCGGCAAGTGTACAGAAGAAGACTTTGAGACAGTGAGGGACGTGATTAAGGAGATTATCAGGACATCTCATGAGCTTGTACTAGCTCGATCTCAATGTAATTATGCTTCACAATAGTCACTAGTATATGAAGGAGGCTGACAGTGGCTACAGACAACGGCAAGCACAAGATCGACTTCAGCCTTCAAGGCGTGCCAGTAGTAAATCAGTTTGTCCAACGTGATGCGGAGATGCAAGAGCTTGAACGGCCCCTTCTCAACATATCGTCCGCAGCGAGTCGGCGAAAGGTCGTCGTTCTCCATGGCCTTGGTGGTGTAGGTAAGACACAGTTGGCAATTGAGTTCGCGCGCGAACATCAAAGCAGGTTTAGCAGTATATTTTGGCTGGACGGATCCTCGGAGGCTAGTCTAAAGCAATCGTTCGGGGGTATGGTGCAAAGGCTGCCGCAATGCGACCTCACAGCAGATGGTGTAGAGATGCTCAAACAGACTACTGTCGATGTCGATGTGGCGGTGCATGAGTGTCTACGGTGGTTGTCCCTTCCATCAAATCATCAGTGGCTCATGATTTTCGATAACGTTGACCGCGACTACCACGACAAAGACGATTCGCAAGCGTACGATGTGAAGAGCTATTTCCCCTCTGCAGATCGTGGGTCGATTCTTATCACGAGTCGGCTAGCAAGTCTACAGAAGCATGGATCAGGACTTAAAGTAGGGACGGTCACGGCAGAGCAAGCAAAAGCTATTCTAGAGAACAATGCTGGAAAAGCGGTCATCGGTGAGTGGATGATTCTATTCAAAAAGATAAGATGATAAGCGCTAACATGTGCTGAACAGACGCTAAAATTATTCTTGAGCGTCTTCATGGACTTCCACTGGCGCTTACACAAGCTGGGTCGTATGTACGAGAAACAAATATGTCTGCATTAACCTACGCAAAGCACTACGATAGAACCTGGGAACGCTTAATGAATAAGCAGGGACAGTCTCCACTAGAGGAATATGGCAACCGAAATTTGTTAACAACATGGACTATGTCGTACGAGCAGGTCTGGAAGCAGAGCGAGGAGGCCACAGGGCTGCTTAAGCTTTGGGGCGTTCTAGACTGCGGAGAGTTCTGGTATGAGCTAGCCGCGGCCGGCGTGCATTTGTTAAAAGATATGGCTATTCCAACGTGGCTACTGAAAATTGCGGGTGATGACCTGGAGTATGCTGAAGCAGTAGGCCTTCTATCGCGCTACTCCCTTGTTGATGCAAAGGAAGGAACCAACAGCCACTCGATGCATTCAGTACTGCATAAATGGTGCGCCCAGCTAACGGAAGGCGAGGACCAGCGCAGTCTTTGCTGTATAGCAGCAGGGCTAGTGGCATTAAATGTACCCTCGCAACTAGAGGCAGAGTTCTGGAGGAAGCGAAAGAGAGTACTAGCCCATGCTACAAGAGTTAGTGGATGGATACTAAAAGAACCCCTCTGTGATAAGGGGGAAGTTTTGGAAGCATTAGTACAGCCGTGGATGTTTCACAGCCTGGGAGATTTACTTTCAGAGGAAGACAGGCTGGACGAAGCGGAGGCGATGTATGACCGGGCCCTGCGAGGAAAAGAGAAGGCACTAGGAGCAGAGCATACATCAACACTTGACACAGTTAACAACTTAGGCATTCTCTACGCAGACCAGGGACGGCTAGATGAGGCAGAAGCGATGTATGACCGGGCGCTGCGAGGAAAAGAGAAAGCACTAGGAGCAGACCATACATCAACACTTAACACAGTCCACAACTTAGGTATTCTCTACAAAAACCAAAGACGGCTAGATGAAGCGGAGGCAATGTATGACCGGGCGCTGCGAGGAAAAGAGAAGGCACTAGGAGCAGAGCATACATCAACACTCCAGACAGTCAACAGCCTAGGGATTCTCTACGTAGACCAGGGACGGCTAGATGAGGCGGAGGTGATGTATGACCGGGCGCTGCGAGGAAAAGAGAAAGCACTAGGAGCGGAGCATACATCAACACTTGACACGGTCCACAACTTAGGCATTCTCTACAAAAACCAAACACGGCTAGATAAGGCGGAGGCGATGTATGACCGGGCGCTACGAGGATGTGAGAAGGCACTAGGAGCAGAGCATACATCAACACTTAACACGGTCAACAACTTAGGCCTTCTCTACGCAGACCAAGGAAGGCTAGGTGAGGCGGAGGCGATGTATGACCGGGCGCTGCGAGGAAACGAGAAGGTACTAGGAGCAGAGCATACATCAACGCTGGACATAGTTCACAACTTGGGCACTCTCTACAAAAATCAAAGACGGCTAGATGAGGCGGAGGCGATGTATGACCGGGCGCTGCGAGGAAAAGAGACAGCACTAGGAGCAGAGCATACATCAACACTCCAAACGGTCAACAACTTAGGCACTCTCTACGCAGACCAGGGACGGCTAGATGAGGCGGAGGCGATGTATAACCGGGCGCTGCGAGGAAACGAGAAGGCACTAGGAGCAGAGCATACATCAACACTTGACACGGTCCACAACTTAGGCATTCTCTACAAAAACCAAAGACGGCTAGATGAGGCTGAGGCGATATATGGCCGAGCACTGCGAGGAAAAGAGAAGGCACTAGGAGCAGAGAATACATCAACACTCCAGACGGTCAATAACTTAGGTACTCTCTACGCAGGCCAGGGACGGCTAGATGAGGCGGAGGCGATGTATAACCGGGCGCTGCGAGGATACAAGAAAGCACTAGGAGCAGAGCATACATCAACACTTGACACAGTCTACAACTTGGGCCTTCTCTACGCAGACCAGGGACGGCTAGATGAGGCGGAGGCGATGTATGACTGGGCGCTGCGAGGGAAAGAGAAGACACTAGGAGCAGAGCATACATCAACACTCCAGACAGTCAACAACTTAGGTATTCTCTACGCAGGCCAGGGACGGCTAGATGAGGCGGAAGTAATGTATGACCGGGCGCTGCGAGGAAAAGAGAAAGCACTCGGAGCAGAGCATATATCAACACTTAACACCGTCCACAACTTAGGTATTCTCTACAGAAACCAAAGACGGTTAGATGAGGCGGAGGCGATGTATGACCGGGCACTACGAGGATGTGAGAAGGTACTAGGAGCAGAGCATACATCAACACTTGACACGGTCAACAACTTAGGCCTTCTATACGCAGACCAGGGACGGCTAGATGAGGCGGAAGCAATGTATAACCGGGCACTGCAAGGAAATGAGAAGGCGCTAGGAGCAGAGCATACATCAACGCTCCGGACGGTCAACAACTTAGGCATTCTCTACGCAGACCAGGGACGGCTAGATGAGGCGGAGGCGATGTATAACCGGGCGCTGCGAGGATACAAGAAGGCAATTAGCCCCGAAAATATCGCCACTTTCATCCCAGCACTAAATACTATGTCGGATCTGGCTTCTCTCCGTAGCCGCCAAAATCAAGTAGAGGAAGCTAGAAGTCTGTACTCAGAAGCTCTCTCAGGCTACCAAAAGGTATTTGGGAGTAATCACTCCAAGTGTCAGGCTTTGCGTCAACACCTTGTAGCTTTAGACAAGGAAAAAGACATGACTGGCGCTTCGAGTAGCAGAGTGCCGGTGCAGGAGCATGTTCCCGTGCCAACTGCTGTCGACCATATGGCACGGCAGAACACATCAGCTTCCAAACGACACAGACTAATAAGGAAATTTGGCTGGAAGGGCCAGTAAGGCCATCCTTGGTAGCACGCTTAAATCCTTTAAGTGTCAAAAAGAACTCCACGAAGGGTCTATTAGAAGGGTCCAGAATAGCGGAGACATGAGTGGGACAGCGCTAGCTTCGTGAACTTGTTAGGCAATGTTCTCAGTAGGTGCTTAAACTATAAGACGTATTAGGAGCAATACGGGCGTTGAAGCGGGATTTCACTTGAGGTACCCCTGTAATAATATTAGCAGGCCAGTCAGCCCTTCAGATGTTCGAGTGGCACCCTAGCGAGGAGGGTGACCAAGCCGCTCTTGCTACACCCTTGTGAGCTCAAACTGTGATAGAGAAGTACCGTCTTATACCGTGGTAAATCACGTGCCTAAAGCAGTGGCGCTTTAGTTAATATGTAAAGTAGGGTGCCAAGACTTTTATTCACGAGCAGGCCGCATTTAAGGGGATGCTAGTTCCGCTAGCCTTTCTAGTATTGTCTGAATTTGCGGCTTCTTTATAGCCTGCTCAAGAGTAGCGTGGACTACCATATGGTTGGTGACCCAACGAACCATGTAAGGCACCGCTATTGCCCAATACTGTGGCTCACTGTATAGGTAATAGCGTGCTTAAATCCTCCACCATAGTTGAAGAAATGGGATTCTTTTCCGTCTCTTGATCCGTATTGCTCGAATAGAAAACGAACCAACTAGTCCTTCCATTTCACTTACCTTGGTATGAATGGCTTTATAATATAAGAACCATACATAGTGTTATCTCTAATTCAAATATTAGAAGCTCTTTTGTTTATTACCTCACCCTCATCTTCCCCTCCAAAACTTGATATTGGGAGTTACCCTTCACCCTCCTCTTGACAACTTTATATCCTCCTATGACCCCAAGTACAACTATAGCTCCAAAGAAAAAACCCAAAAACATGGCCATCTGATACGGATTCCCCTTCTCCAAACCCAGTCCCGGTCTCGGAACCGCTAGGCCCGTGGAAATTGACGGAGCCTGTGAATACGGGAAAGTGCTGGTATGCTGGTTGGAATTTTGACCCCTGGATGCCAGTGACGAAGCGTCGGTGGAACCCGTAGGAGTGGAGATGCTTTCGGTTGTAGGTAATGAGATTGAGGGTGGATTTGTTGGTGTTCGACGGGATGAAGGCTTGTGTTTTCGGCGGACGGATGCGAGGTCTGAGATTATAGATTCGAGTTTGAGGGTTGAGGTCAGGGATTGACATGCTGATAGTGACTGTATCTTGATATTAGCAATTAATCACGCGAATAGAGGAATTTACGGCCGTTCTACACCCCCCTTCTTAAAAACAATGTAATACAGCATGCTATCATCGAACATGGAACATATAGGACAGAGTAAATCTGTTAAGACTCTTGCCGGAATCAAGAAGACTACCAATACAATGCAAATAGCCCTTAATTCAACAGAGTCATGTTCCACACTAGTTAGTTGAATGCATTAGAGTCGGTGTACGCAGAAGGAGACAAATCACCGTATACGAACTCCGGGACAAGACAACCCTGGAGCAGGAAATGATATCACATCACATGATTTAACAGAGAGCAAACAACGTAAGACAGATACCGGACAATGAATAACGAAATCATTCAAACTCACCCCCCTCCCCTTGGCTTCACAAAACTCCCACCCCCTCAACGCCGCCACTTCCTCCATCTTTCTCCCCAACCTCTCCACCTCCCCCGCTAGCTTCTCCATCTGATCCACCAACCTCTCCTGCGCATCATCATTCGATGCATTACCACTCATCTGCGCCCGATAGCTCACTGGCGCCCAGATGCCAAATAAGACGGCTGCTGCGACTCCTACGACTTTGATAGCCCAGTCAATGAAATGCTCCGTCGACGTGATGGGTCTAGTCTGGCAGGAGGAGAAGGTGCGAGATATGTGCGGCGCTGGTATTGAGGGCGTAATAGTAAATCCGTCGTCGGAGACTGCCAGAGTGGTACTCGAATCCGTGCGGAAGCGGAAGGCTTTCTCATCCTCACTCCTTCCCTCCTCACCCAGGCTCTTAAAAGTCGGTAATTCGGAAGATCTGCGAGACATACCAAATACTCAATTCTTGCTGTACCAGGATTTTGGAAGTAATTGATTGAGGCGGGGGGAGTCTGGAGTGGGGGGAAAGCGGGATATGTAAATGCCTGGAATACGAGGCTGCTTGTTGCAGATATGTCTGCGTGGCTGAGCAACTTGCACCTGCAGGCAGTTTGGGCCCCCACCACCCAGCTCGACGCCATTGTCATGCAGAGAAGATCGGAAAAAAACAAATGGGGGGACCCGAGCACAGCCTCAGATGACAGGATTTCTGTTTGGAGAAACTGGTGAACTGAATCCTCTAGGGCTACCTTGAATGATAACTTTATGCGACAAAAAGATGCATCCAAGACCTACTTGACCAGAAAACAAAACTTGTGTTTCTATAAGCTACAACAGTGATACAGCTACATACATACACAAAAGAAAGAAAAAGAGCAATTGTCAGGAAGTCGCCATTCTTCCTGTCTAGTCTACAAGCAGGCTCTGCAGTCGTGCTTCCGTAGCAATAACATCCAGCGCCTGCCTAACCTCCAACACCCTCCTACATTCGCTCAACCAATCTTTGCTGAGCACCTTTGCCCACCCTTGAAGTCCATTCATCTCTCGTGCAGCACCGTCGAGATCGCCTTCTTCGAGAAGGACTTCGGTTCGTGCAAGAACGGCCTCGACGTCTTGGCCGACAGCCAGTCCAGATTTCTTGAAGAGCACTTTTGACATGGCGAGGGAGGCGATATGGGATGCAACGCCGGCGTCTTCAGGCAGGAGAGAAGCCTTCCTGACTTCTTGAGCCACACGTCGGAAACGGTCGATAAGCTGTGCAGCGTTGGGGATACCACGTTGGTAGGCGGCTGGGCTGATGCTAGCGATTGCAGCACTGATGACGGGATCATCCGCGGCAATCTCCTTTAGTGCGGCGAGCTCGGTGATGAAGGGTTTTGGGGTGACCTGGTTTTCGAGGGTGGACTTAACGGCTTCTACGGCTACGACAAGATGCTGGGTTTGCAAGTTTGCATCGACCACGGAGTTCCATTCGGCGGTTAGCTTCTCAAGCTCGTGGACTGAAGACGACAGCTCGTTGAGCTTCCCGAGACGGCCATCGCGTTCGGCTTCGACGCGGTCACGGACAGAGGAGGCGAATGATCGTTGGAGCGTGATGCTTTGCTCTAGGAGTTCATTCTTCAGGCGTTGTTCGTAGACCTTCTTGGCACTATCAAGCTCGGATTGGAGCTTCTCCCTGTATGATTCGGAAAGTCGTTCGCGCTCATTCTCATACTCTTCTTTCCAATGCGTCTCTTGATCCTGCATCTGGTGCTCCAGACGACGAATAAGCTCCTTTGCCGCACTGTCGAATTCGGAGTGGGCGGTTCTAATCTTTTCCTCGGCCGACTTTTGTAGGTTATCCTTCAGCATGTTGATATCCGAGACGACCTTTCCGAGTTCCGATTTAGCCTTGTCCAGAGCAGAGCTGTACTTGCCGCCGTGCGAGGAGTCGGCATTGATGGCGGTGATGATGTCGTTGACAATCCTGATAACATCCTGTACAACCGGCTCACCGACGGCTGGAACCGCAAGGTGGTCAAGCGGGGCAATGGGGGTAGGTGAAGTAGCGGGAGCGGGAGCGGGAGCCTCCTTCTTCGGTTCACTCTTAGCGGCCGCCTTGGGGAGCAAATCGTGAGACACAGACTCGGTGGGCTTCTCCTTTTGTATATCCTCCTGCCTCTTCTCCTGTGCACCCTTTGACGGGGCATTAGTAGCAACCTTTGGGTCGCCCTTTCCTTCTGGAGTAGCCCTCGGTTTGTTGTCCGCTAGCGCGCTAATATGGGGTCCTCTTGCCGCCAAATCAGTTGCGCCTTCCTCCTCGGAAACCCTCGACGTAAGCCCATGCTTGCCTGGAATGGTGACCTTGTTTTCTCCCCTAACCTGTGGATGCAGCCGCGACTGGCCTGCCCGACCGGGGAACCGTTTCCGGAACTCACGCTCTTCGAAGTAGCCTACTGCATCCTCGCCAAAGGGAATATACTCTGTGAACAAGTCGTGGAAGGTGTCAGAGACGAGCGAGTAGTACACCCCGCCCGCATATCCTAGAGCTGAGAGGAGAAACAACTGTATCAGAAACCGGCGAAATCGCCGCTTCTTTGGTTTAGGAGGCTTCGGGTCAGGTGCTACGCTGGCGGATCCCGTGCCCGTCGGGGGTGTGGTTGCGGGCTGGACAACTGGGGCAGAGCGTCCTGTCTCTGCGGGGGGAGGCTGCTTAGGGACATCGGAGGGAGGAGTTGTAGGGGACGGATTGGAGGGCGTGGCCGACGGAGCGGGATTAGGGATGGCGGACTCGCCCAGTTTTTTCTCGTCGGCAAAGAAGCGCTGGGCGACGCGCCATTGCGGGCGAGCGACGGGCCCAATTGACCTCAGAGCTGGGCGGGCTCTTAAAAGAGAGGCGCGCAGCATGGTGAGCTGCCTCGGAGGGGTAGAGGGGAGAGGTGGGGGAGGTCGCGATGAATGTTGTCGTGGGTGGCCAGCTCACAGATGGTCTCGAGAGCTCCTGGCCCGGCACGTCAGGCGCTCGGGCCAGATCGGCTGGACGGCTCCAGTCGCAAATCGCTCAACACCAGAACCACATCACTACTTGAGCTGTACTATACCGAAGCCTGCAAGTGAATGTCCTCGGATACCCAAAAAATGTTTGCCTTGTCTATCGCACACTCTCACAAGAACACGTGTCTGCTCTCTCGCACTTGACTACAGCCCCAAACGCCCCCCCAAAGCCCCGAGAGCCGACGCCCACAAAGCACCGCGTTGATGCCATGTCTCGGACATCACATGCCCACCGGGTCGGCTTCCCACATGCTGTAACACACATCTTCCAGACATCCAGCTAGGTCTATTCTCGCAATCTTGTTCTTCTTATCGTCCTTTCACAGTCTTCTCTCGCATCTGATACCCGCACTGAAACCGAGCTGAGGATCGTTTGAAGCACAGCCACACGCGTCTCTTCAAGCCCTGCGTCATCGTACTTTGTGAGAGCTGTGACTCTTATCTACGACCAGGCAGCCATTTCAACACTTCTTTGAGCCCTCCGAGATCTCGGATGAGTAGTTCTTTCGGAAATCTGCGTTTTATCACTTGCATTTCACATCTGCACCTCGTGCATACCCGTGCTTCCATTTCTATCTGTCCCTTTCCATCCATCCCCATCTATCCACAGCTTTCTTGAAGGACAGGAGATCAGGAGTAGCATATCTGTCTTTATCAAGCTATGACAACCTACCCCGGCACCGGCGTCCCGCGTGACTGCCACGACCGCCACCTCGCAGAAACCTACTATGGGATGCTGCCTTCTTCCGCCTTGGACCCCTCCAACGCAGATATTCGCGCTCCATCAATCCCCTCGAAACGCTTCCACGAAGCAAAATCGTCCGCGTCTGCAAAGCGTAAAAATGCCACAGAGTCTCATGAACCAAGTATCTTCCTCCCCCGGGGTGGGCTCGAAGGAAACCAGTACTGGCCGTCGACCAAAAGCAGCAAACGTGGCCGTTTGCAAACAAAACAAGATGCGCGTATTGAACTGCATCAAAGCACGTGTCTAAACCTCAATTCTACCGTCAATCCTAATCTCAACAACCCCTCTGCTACTGACTCGGATCTCTGGATCCTGCCCGACTTCGACGAGTGGGAACTAGATGACACCTCATCCATGCACTACTCCCTGCACGCTCGCGACGGAGGCGAATGGGCGCCGCTCGTATCCCGCGCCGTGAATTCGAATCGCGAGAGGCTGCGACGGAGACTCGAGGGCGATGGGTGGGATTTTGTAGGTGGGAAGTATGGCGAGGATGGGAATGTTTACGAGTTTCGAGATGAGGATAGTGGGAGTGGGAGTGGGAGTGAGGAGAGTGTGGACGAGGAGTTTGATGTTGTTGTTTTGGGGGTTGAGGAGGGGGTTTGATGTTTTCTTTCATGCCCTGTTTTGTTTTCGGTTTGGTTTGTTTAATATGGACTGTAACGGCCCTGCCCTGGCTAGGGTAAGGATGTCATGGCCATTCTCTCGTTTTCAAAACCCTTCGCCGTTACTTCATCTACCCCTCTCCCATCTCCTCGAACGAGCCTTACGTCGTAGGCTCTCACCTCTGTCGCTTACCTTTACCCTCCCATATTTTTCTGTCACGGCTCTCCTACTTTCTACCAATGAATGATACCCCGAGGAAATGTAACACCACGTCATGTACCTACGAACTCGCACCCATATGCAACCATACACCTCACAAATTCGGTACCCTTAATAAAGCATGCCAATCCAAGAATATTCGTTGATTAAAACACCAATTCTCGATCAATCAAACCATGCTGTCTCTAAGAATGTACCAAATCCCCAACTCTCTAGGGCTCTCTCTCAATGCTCATATACTCATACAAACCCCCGAACTCCCACAACCATTGCAGCTCCCACAACAAGCTTGCAAATGAATACATCAAACACTCTATTCGATCCTCTTCTTCCCCTCTTCCAAATACCCCAACCTGGCATCGCTCTTTCCTCGCTCATGTCTCGTGCCTACCAACGGTCCCACAACCGGGTTATTCTGCACTGCCAACAAGGCATCCTGCACACTTTCCACCGCCCAAGGGAGCTTGTTGAGTTTGGGCCAATTGACCTGTAGAGCCAACGTTAGACTCATCACCATACAGAAAGGAGGGGAAGTTAGAGAGGGGGGGGGGCTTACATAAAGCGTTCCATTGACCCAAATAAAATTAAAGCACGCCGCCGCAATCCCCAAACACAGAAACATCAGCAACCGGAGCGGCCAAACCGTTGCATCTGGCGCTCTCCTCGTAAAGCTTCCCACAAAGAGAAAGAAGATGCTGGCGGCTAGGATATACGGTATCGACTGAATGAGCAAGGGCCTCCGGTCCGCGAAAAGCAGTTGACCACCCATGCCCGGGTCCGATGGCAGATACGTGCCCAAGAATAGATCAAATGCATCCTGTCTGGGGCCGTCGCGGAAGTTATTGAGGAAGTACCTCGTGGCGCCGTTGTTGAAGTCCTGTAGCGCGCCGGCTTTAGTCCGGGTTCCCGTGCGAGTGAAGTCTGTTTTCAATGCGCCGGTGCCGGAATAGGATTTTGAGACCACGTCGGCGTTGTCGGCCCAGACGTTGCGGAACAGGGATTCGAAGGCTGCGTCGTCTTGCGCGGATTCGCCTTCACGAATTAGGCCGACGTCGATGAGCATGCGGGATAGGATGTAGCGGCCCAACATGCTCTGGACGACGTTTGTGCGGTCTAGGCAGTCCATGCAGTTTGTGCGGACGACAGCTGTCTGGTGTCTCCTGACCTCTACGCGACCCATGTCGCCCGGCATGTCGACGCCGCGGAAGTAGCCGTGCTTGAGGACTGGTTGTTCAAGCTGGTCCATGAGGAGCTGGGCGCGATCCCAACGGAGGCCCTTGGTTTCATTGTGGAAGTCAAAGTAGATGTAGTGGAGTCGATCAAAAGATGTTTGTGCCTGACTTGATTCAATGACGTGGAATTTCTCGTCTGTCACTGTATTCCGTTCAACCTTTTCCGTGGGCGAGGAGGCTAGTAGGCTGACCATTTGCTCGTATGCTTCCTTGACCCTCTGTTCGCGACCCTTTTGGTTGACGAGGTTGATCAGCCAATTGTCGCCGTATATTCGGATTTGCTCGGCGAAGTGCTTCTTTGCGGCACCCACGGCGCTCTCCACACCTCGAATCTCGAGCTTCGGGATGTACTTTAGGGTATTGACTTCGGCCCAGTAGACAGGGACGCTCCCTCGGGTCTGCAGATATGCGAGCACCTGGGTCTCCTTGCCCGCTTGCACCTTGGCCGAGCCGTTCTGTTGCAGGCCGACAAAGCCTCCCGAGCCGCCAGATGCGTTGTCATTGAGGACGATGGCCTGCTCAGTCTCGTTGAAATTCGACACATTGCCGTTCTCGTCCATGCCGCGCGAAAAGTATCTCGTGCCAGCCCTCAGCCTCGACCTCCTCGAAATGAGGATGAAGGTGAGCGGGTTCCCCTTGACGGAAGTGTTTTTGATCTCCATCATTCCAAACATGACAGGCAAGATGTACGGGTCCACATCCGGCTGCTGTCCGATAGAGTGCCTGTGACCATATCCGCTGCTGAGCCCACCGCGAAAGTCGATCAAATCTGTCTGGATGAACCGGTTCCAGAAGAAGCGATCATCGGCCCTCTTCCATAGTGGCGTAGCGGGGTCGGCGTGTGCCTGGCGCTGGAAGCTGCTGGTGATGTCGAACGAGTAGGAAAAGTACAGCGGGGATGTCTTGAGGAAGCCCTTCAGGAGGGTGAGGTAGGTGTCCTCGTCGGGATCGTGGAGGGGACGGTCGCGAAGAGGCAGGAACTCAGTCGAAACGACCCTGTAGATCATATGGCCTTTTATTCTGCCCATCGGCTGGGCTTTTGTGATTACAACGACATATTTATCTGGGAGCTGGGGTAAGTCTTGGCAAATGGGGGGGAGGGGGGGGGGAGGAGCTGGACGACAGGGGAAGGAGCTACCCAAACGGAGCTTGATGACCCCGAGAATGCCGGCGATGCTGGAAACTCTCTTGGACCCAAGCAGTTTTCCGTCGTGAAGGCGTAGGTCACCTGACGGACGATCCACCACGAGCGTGGGTGCAGAAGGCGACGAGGGCGACGAGAAGGCGTAGTGCGAGGGAGAGGAATGCACGTTGATGTCGCGGTAGGGCAAGATGGTAGCCATTGTGGGCAGATTCTGTGGAGAGAAAAGTGAGCTCGATGGCGTGCCGTACGCGTACCAACCAGAATCGTGGCGCTGCGCAGGCGATTGCGGCGACGAGGGGAGTTGAAATATGGGTGTTGTTGCAATGTTGCAAGGTGTTTCCTCACAAACGGAAGGGATGACGAAAGGCTGCGGCGAGACGAGGGCCCGTCGCGGCGCCAAGCTAGCGGCCAGGCCGTCACGCTCGACCTTTCATTCAATCCACCACTCCACCCCCCATCCGCCTCTTCCAAGTACTCCCCGCGCTCCCCCGTCCACAACGCCTTGCTATCTGCGTCCAGCCCTGCCACTCACATCTAACTACCACCTCCCCGAGTCGCCTCCCCTCCCCCCTTCCCCCAACTTGGCTTTTCGATAGCCGCCGCGTCACCTATTTCCAGGCTCAAACATGTCGGCAAGAATGCAGCAGGGCGGCCGGCCTGGAGGCACTCGGTTCGCTCAGTTCAAGCTGGTGCTGCTCGGTGTGTTCTCCTTCCCCCAATTCTCTAGCTATGCTGCCTTGGATTTTCTAACATGTCCTGCAGGTGAATCTGCCGTAGGAAAGGTCCGCCGATCCCACCTATCAAGGCTGCCATGATTGCAAAGCTAACGTCTCTCGCAGTCGTCGCTAGTACTGCGCTTTGTCAAAGTGAGTTGGGGGTATGGCATCCGCCGAAATCAGGGCTAAGTCACCGCTAGGACCAATTCGACGACTATCGGGAGTCCACCATTGGCGCCGCCTTCCTCACCCAGACCATCGCCCTCGACGAATCCACCACGGTCAAATTTGAGATTTGGGATACTGCAGGCCAGGAACGGTACAAGTCGCTCGCGCCCATGTACTACAGGAATGCCAACTGTGCCGTTGTCGTCTACGACATCACCCAAGCTGTGAGGTTCCCTGTCCGTTTTGCGCTAGCATGGTTGCTAATATAGCCAACAGTCGTCTCTAGACAAGGCAAAAGCCTGGGTAAAGGAACTCCAGCGCCAGGCCAATGAGAACATCATTATCGCCCTCGCCGGTAACAAGCTCGATCTCGTCACCGAATCTCCTGATAAGCGCGCCATCACAACGGCCGATGCCGAACAATACGCAAAGGAGGCTGGATTGCTGTTCTTCGAGACGTCTGCAAAAACCAGCGAGAATGTACGAGACCTATTCACTGCAATCGCGAAGAAGCTCCCCCTCGACCAAGCCGGTCCTCGAAACTTGAGGCCAGGCCAACAGCGACAGGGCGTCAATTTGAGGCCAGAGGCAAGAGAAACACAGGGACCGGGCGGCTGCAATTGCTAGACGATTTGGCCATTTGCATATTTCAGTACTGCGTGCTTGGGGTGGGTAGAAGGTATATCTTAACGGGCTCTCGCTGGGAGGGCGTGGCGAATGATGTTTGGGGGCCGGCCAGTATCTTTTTCTCGCTATCAACCCTTTTTCCCGTAGGGCATATTACGGGCCTTTGGAGTATGGGTTTGTCTTCTCTGTTGCTATCTTATCTGAAGAGCTGAGAATTCCAGGCTACTCGAGCCATTAAATTTTAATGATTCCTTGCCGGATTCCTTTCTCTATTGTTCTTTTTTTTTTCTCATGTATACACCAACCGTAGCGAGGGTTTCATGTCACTAGAGCGTGTCTACTTATCAGTCTGTAAGGTCATTCCATTTCTACAAGGAGATGAAATGATATCCGTAGAATTCCCTTCCTTTGCTTGGATGGCGTAAGTTCCTGACGTTGGAAGAAGTATGTACGGATTACAACGTCTGTTTTTCTAGTTGATTATTTTGCGTCGATTTCTTCGCCTGTGGTAGTACTCCATTCGATCCGATCCGACCCTTAGATGCCAAAACGCGGAATGATTGCTCCCATTTGCCCCCGCACCGCCATCATCGCTCAACCGCTCCCGGAATCAACTGTAAAAATCCAATCCTCGGTCCTCGAAAACACTTTGCCCTCCGCCGTCGTCGTCACATTTCCTCCCTCACCTTCTTTCCAATACGTCCCTTGTGTCGCGTACCCGATGAAATAATTTTGTCTACACATCGCAGTCAATATGGCCTGGGTTGAAAATCTAGATCTGAGGGTAAAACTTACGCATCTATCCTCCACCCTCGCGTAATTTTCAGCTCGTTGCGCGTCAGTGTGAAATGAGAGCTGAAATTTCTGGGTTGGCAGGGCGTGTCTACATTGTAGATTGAATTGGCTGACGAAGGGATTTTGCAGTCAATAGAGAGAGCATAGGCGGGTCGGGGATCGACGAGGTGGAAGGAGACACTGGATTGGGCGCCTTCGACTGCGCGGAAGTTGGAGACGGTGAGGGTGACGGTGGTTGGAGCTGGGGCTGCGAGGGAGAGGGGAAGGGCAGATAGGAGGATGGGGAGCAGGAGGGAGAACATAATGGGAAGAGATAGTGGGCGTTTTGTTTCGGTTGATTTGCTGGTGTGCTACGATGGATAATCGGAGACGATGAATGACTTTGTGCGTGGCGAAACGGGGAGATATATGGTAGTTTCGTGGAGTTTGTCGGAAGTAGTCCAGATCGATCGAAATCATTCGCAATCCAAGTCGTCGCCAATTCTATCCTCTGTAACTTAAAAGAGCCGTGATCCGAAGCTTGTCTTATGCGTCTCCGCAAACAATGCAAGAGGCTGGGAGTTATGAAAAAGTCTCCCACAACCCACACAATCTTTCCAATGTCTGCCTTGCCCTGCCCTGGCCCTCCTGTCTTTGCAATGCCTCAGCGGCACACCCGAATCCTAGGGCGTAAATAAGTCGAAAGAAGGCAGTGAAGGCAGTCCTAGGCGTTGGTGTTTGAAAATGAATCGTAGGATGAGTAGCCTACAGCCTAAGGCGGCGGTTACAGATGTTATTTTCGTAAAGTGGAAGAGGCGTAGTTGGAAGGAGAGCTCGTCGTGTTGGAAGTCGCGATGGGAAGACCTCTGATGCGAAGAGCAAGAGGTTGGCAAACGACAGCTTTTCAGAAGTCGCTCGTGGTAAGTATTAATGGATGAAGACAGACTCCTCGAAGAATTATGCCATAACCAGCGCAAACGAACAAACAAACCCCCTCTTTATATGCATGTATCCAAAGCCTTCAGGATAGATGTCATTCCATGATCGCTAGCTGCATCGGCGCTAAACGCCCTAGATCAGGCAGTTTGATCTACGGGGTTGGCGGCGCAGCAGGGGAAAACAATAAGCACGAACAAGTGCTCGGGCGAGATGGACGTGTTACGATACTAGGAGAGGTGCACGAATGTCATGTGGTGTGGTGGTGCCACGTCAAGTTGTGTTGCAGAATCAATTGTTTAGCTATGAACGGGTACGGGTACCAGGACGCTATTAATATTTCAGGCTGCCGCGGGCGGTGAACGAAAGAAGTAAAGAGGTAAGACAACCATTAACTCTGCTCTGATTGCCATGGTCTACGCGATGATCTGGTTGATAGGAAAATCCCAATTCCTGGATCGCGCGTAGAACTTGCCAACACGGCTTGTGGTCACATTCGCGCATGATCCGATCAAGGTAGATTCGGCCCAATATGTATCTTGTTTGGTGAGTCCCACTGCATACGACTTACTATCCAAAAAGTTAACATCACATCAGAGTTATCGGGAATTGCACCTACGGATCATTTGGGTCCTGCAAAAAAGGCCTCCGGATCTTCATAAAGTCTTCATCCAGCCAGAATGCGATTCCATCACCGCCTTCGCAGGGCCAGTACCCTTCGAGGTATATGGATGGATAAGCAGTGTCGGTAACGAAGATGCAGTCCACTTCAGCGTGATATTGCGGCCGTGGGTCTTGGACGTGGAACGAGACATAGCTTGGAATGTTTGAGCTTGAACTGATGAACGCGCCGAAGTCAGTTACATGTAGTGTGGGAATCTCGGGTAATGAAGCAGTTGTGGTGGTGTAACCGCGAGGCTGGATAACTGGGTTTGGAAAGGTGGATGCAAGGGAGGGAAGAAGGGGTAGGAAGAGAATAGAGACAAATCGCATCTTGGTGAGTGGAGTGGGATACGGAGGATGTATCCACGTATACGAGCAAAGGTGGCTTGGTACAGAATCGAGAAGGACGAAAGACTTCTCTTAATACTTATATAGATACTACAGTAGTGTGAGAAAGGGCATAGTGCACATTCTAGTGTATCCGCTCTTGCATTGTAGCATTAGGTTTGAACAATTGTTCGGGCTGCCATTATTGCTGGTGGTTCACATCCGTCGTGGTGTAGTTGACCCAATGCCAATGAGCAAATGAATGAGTTCGAACAGAGTATTCAAGGATCTCTTGGATACTTGAACACGGCAATGCCAAGATGGCATATGTAGAATCCCGGTCCCAAGTGCAACATTTCGTGTCGATCACTGGCGGCAAGGCACAGTTCCATCGTCGGCAAGATGGGCCGTACCATTCGGGTGATAGTGAAAGACTTGAGAGAAGGCCAGGTATAGTGTGACTATCCTCGTGCTCAGCTGTCGTTGAGCATGCTTTGGTGTGGAGAAAGAGTTGTTGAGGGACATGGGAAGGTGAGGCTGGAGGAATGGGCAGACTGCACTAGGCCAAATCAGTCTTCTCTGACCTTGACAATGGGTCCTGGGTACCATGCAACTGCTTTGAGTCCATCAGCCTTCCCTTTCACGTCTTGTACTCTATTTGTACTTCAACGACTTACCATCGATGATGTTAAGATCCTCGGATATCGAGGTCAATAAGTTTTTGTACTCTTGTTTCACGGTTGCTCCACCAGCTTGTTCACCGCCTCCGATCGCACCTTGTACGCTGCCGTCTATCGCCTGGAGCATGACATCAAGCTCAGAGTTCGATGTTGCATTCGATCTGCTAATCAACCACTTTGTATCAATTATCATCTGAGCCTTCGGTTCGATCAAACGTTCGATTACTCCTAGCGCCTCTCCATCAGCTACCTTTGATCCACTTGATGTATTCTATCGAGTTCATCGGGTTGCCCATAACCGCTGCCTCTTAGCTCCAAAATACTTAAACACTCGGGAAGCTTCCGGGAACCACGCCAGTTAATTTGCGGCAATTGACGATTATTAGATTCTTTGAATTTATTCACACTGATTGCGGCAATCGAGCATGAGGTTCACATTTCATGCAGCAGGAATCTTCCATGTCAGAGGCCACCTCCAGCATGTGCAAAATTGGGTCGTCATCGCGTTGCTTCCTGATGGTACCTCTTCTCTGCGTTACAATCTGTGAAACTTTTGGCACCAGAGGCATGAGGAGATGGATTGATTGCTAGAGGAGGGTAACTAAGGGTGCCACTAGGTTAGGCAGCAGCAGGTGAAAGTAGTATCAGGTGACTAGAGCTTGGAGAGCTTTGTAACTGCAAACACAATCTAACGGCTTTCAACCTACCTAAATATAAAATGCCCCTTCCTCGGCTGCAAGACACCCGTCGTGCTGAAAAAAATAATAGGTACTCTAGCTTTAGGCAACTTAAACTCTGTATGGATTGTGTGCTATTGCCACTTCTAAACATTTGAAGTCTCTCTTACCTAGAAAATTACATTTGCGTTGTCGCCCTTGAGAAAGAATTGCATAGTGCCCCTTTTAAGCGTAACGTAATTTCTTTACTACAGCACTACTATTAAGCTCTAATAATTTTTAATACTAAGAGAAAGATCTGATCTAAGCTTTCAAGCCTCAGTTGCTATAAGGCTAGAAATATATTATTGACCTTGTGACTGCCACAGCGTGCAAATTCGTGCTGGAGTTGCTGTGCAGATTAGTACCTCTTGTTAAGGCAGCTACGGATCCTAGCAGATGTAAAATAACCCCACACATTCTACATAATATTTACTGTGTAATTCACTTGCTTTATGCAAATCTAGCCTGTAGTCTGTCAAGCCTGCGACTGTGAGGGGCCTTGGTAAGCCGAGCCTTTCGATCTAACTTACCATGCCTCTAGTCAACCAACTCAAATCTCTGAAACAGCTACAGAACTCTAAAAGGGTGTGGCCAGAGCGGCAAGGCCATCCTCCCTGCTAATGGTAGCGATTCGTCTTCTTCTTTGCGCAGATTCCTACTAACACCTTAACCAGATACAACTCCCCTAGGCACAGTTTCACATAGTTTTCTACAGTATGGCGGGTTTGGTTCCCTGTTCTCGTACAACTGCTAGTGCACGACTTTCGGCACAGCAGAGAGCCTGCGGTAGGTTAGGCTAAAATGGGATACGCCGGCAATTAAGGGTATGCAGGTCCAGTTATGTACCCTACAGGATGAGAATGAAGCCCACTATCTTCACACCGACCACTTATTGACTTCGAAGAAATACTATATAGTCTAGGTGATTTTCCCCTTTTTCTCCAGACAAGGTATCTATGCAAATAATAAACTAGATAGAATAGGATCTCGGCGAAAGGTGGGACGCAAAAAGAAATGTAGAAGGGAAGAGCGAGAAATAATTTTAGGATCTCCGAACACTGTTTCCAGAGGTGACAAACAGTAGCAAGGTATGGCCTTGTTTGGCGGCACTAACTCAGTCCTAGCAACATTCGAGATCGAACATGAAATAAAAACCCCATTTCTTAATGTTCTTGCACATTGCCCAGAAAGCAGCGATATTCGATGTCACGATTCGATTGTAGGTAAAATGTTCAAACTTTTCGCTTCATTCTACGCCTATAAGTAATTTCTACGCAAATCGAGTGGAAATAGAGTTACGCTAAAGAGGCCAGGACCTACTCTCGCAAACAGAGTTTACTGTTAACCAGTTTCGTCCTTGCTTCCCAAACCAAGTTCTCCCAGAACTAGAGAGTCCTACTACAAGTAATTCTACAGCACGAGCGAAAAAACCTTCCGAAATCCCTGTTCAGGTCGCCAATCTAGGGAATTGCTCACTTATGTTCGGCAACATCTGCATTAGAAAGCAATAGAAAACGCTAACGTCTTGTCAATTCTGCTGCACTCATCACTTCAACCCCTGTGAGCGACCTACGATCTATAAACCTCACCGATTCATTCTCTCGCGCCATGATCTAGCCCCAAGAGAAACTGAGCAGATCCTTCGTAGATTACAAGCAGATCTGTTAACAATAATGTCCGACATGAATACTACCGTAATCGAAATTTATCTGCACCCAGAAGCATGACAGATTGAACTGAACTATCTAGTTAAGTCCTGGAGGATGTCCAATCCAAGTGAAACTGGATAGCGCACACTCCGGCCTGGCGCGAGTTGTTTTGTTCACGAAGAGCTAGAAATGGTAGGTTAAAGAGTCTTTATGCTGAACATGGCTGTTCTCTTCTTCTTTTATACACCCACAACCATGAACTGCTTGAACGAATCGACTAGTAGCTTCTCAGAGAGGATGAGATTAATAGAATAGGAACACGACAACTATCAGTTCTTTTAATATTGTGAATTGGCTTCAAGGATATTTATGCATGTCCCATGAATCGTGCATTTATCCCTCAAACAATTCTAGTTCGGCTTGTATCTTCTCCAACCCTAATCTAAGCACAACTCCGTTTGGGGTGAGTTTACCTGCTAGGATATAATGGCAACATGCTCAGTGTATCTAAAACAGGCTAGGCCCTCAATCTGTTGGGCACCCAAGGAGAAGAAGTCAATGAAGGTGCCAAATGTGTGGGGGTAGTGGCTCTCATTTCGTTGCACAATGTTTGTTGCATCTTACTTAATATGGGATATGGTAGGGAGGTATTTAAGGGAGGTGGGTTTGGATGATCTGTAACACTACGATGGGTTGCCCAATCAGCCTTGAGCTTGGCACCTCATCAACTGTGTCAATCATAGCTCCTTGGACCCTCAGTCCACAATATATCACTTCTTTCAAAACTCAGGCCCACTGCAAGGCTACATAATCGAAGAAGCATGTTGATTGTAGTTGATGCTAACAGGCGATACATTTGCGGGGTTACGAGAAGGGCTAGTGAAAGTTTAGAAACGCTCCGATTTGAGTCTAGCATTTTTGATTGCAGTGCGTTTTGTGTACTTGAAACGTGGATATGCCATCCCCTGTTTCGGTTCTCAAAAGGCTGACACCATTCAACCATGGTGAGCGCCATCTCGCTTGACCTGGACCATTAGAGGTGCCACCAGACCGCACAGCCACGCAGGAACCGCCGACTTGGCTGAGCAGCTCAGCTACGTTGGGTGCGCTTCCTTTCTCCTTCCTCAACAATCAGCACTTATGTAGGACGACTTCCCATTCCAATGTGCCAGTTCTGACTACGGAGTACTTGAAATGTCACCGTTTCTACAACCTCGCTTTTCCAACAAAACAATGAAGGCTAATAGAAAGCCAACGCCGGAGTGTATTGTCCGTTCCGATACAGAAATGGAACTGGCAGCGCAACTTGTAACTAAACCTCGCCGACTCTTTGTTTCCGCCGTGCTGGACTGGATTCTCAAGACTTTAGGTGCAATTTCCGCTGTGATATTTGGAATTTGGGCGCCAATCACCTACTATACCAGTGTCAAATGGAACACGAGTAATGATGAGAGTCAAAGGCAGCTGCTAGAGGCGATCACGATGCAAGAACTAATGACAAGAGCCCTTCTAGATGAGATCCAAAAGATGAATGCAGTTCAATCGAGACTGTATGAAGAGATGGCAGGTGTAAGGGCGATGGTAGAGAATGTTGGGGAGCTAAAAGCGTGGGAATTTTGTTCTCAGGACTCAAATTTTAGTGCGCAGGAGCTTTGCCACATTCCAGACAGCCTATACCTAATGGATACCATTCTACAACATCTAAAAAACCAGACCGCACGTCCGAAACAATCTTCCACTACCTCTCCAGGGTCGTTGACTTCGTCATCATTGTCCGATCTAAGCCACATGTTGGACCTTACTCCTTCGCCCCTTCCAACCACCACCGTTCCGGAGGCCGTGTCTAGCGGCCTGGTAGTAGCAGACTACCAAGCCTGGGCGGACTGGTCCGGAGGTAATTGGGTCGCCAGCAGATTGGTGACTGAACCACCGCCTCCCTTGTCAGGACGGTTTAATATCTCGACAACATCAGCACCCTATTCATTGCATTCAGTTTCGATAAATGGTGATGCAACGTTTCTCAGGCCCAATCCTGGTTACCAACGATCCCAAATCGAGACGATGAATGTTACGACTACTTGTTACGGATCAGTTGTTTTGATCATAGCTACATTACTCGTGATGAGTCCTAAAATTTCGGATTGGGGAAAATCAGGAAGCGCTCCGGGAATGAGATTATGTGCTGGCGCTTTGTCGGCAGCTGTGGGGGCTCTATGCATGATTTATCTGATGTTTTTATTAGACTTGTACTGAGGATTCCAATCATTTTTCTAAACTGGGGTACCGAGGGAGCATTTCTCGAGGGTTTCCCTGGGACTATAGTCGTACTTTGTGGACTGGTGTACATCGTTGAATTATTCTCACCCATTTACAGCATGCCATTTCATATCAGGAAACAAGGCTAGGAAAAGTCTATCCATTAAGCGTCTTGCTAGAAGCAGGGTGTATAGTAATAGATTACATATGACAAGGAGAACTTGATATGGAGCCGCTTGGAAAGTATGATACGAGTGAACGAAAGATAGCAGTTTCCGTTGATTTCTGCCCTCATCTTATTGGTACGGAACTTTGTACAAGAGGCGACTTGCGAATACCGGCTGATCACAGGTCAAACTTAGCCTAGAGTTAGTCCAGACATTCGACGCACATATAGCTCTTTTCTGCTGCTTCCCTGAAGCCTCGGGATCCTTTTGTCCAGCGAAGGTGTATGAGGGTTAGTGTAACGGATACGTATCAGCAACGATGTCTTGCAATGTATAAAGTTCTAATCTAAGAAAGACAGCTGCTTGCAGAAGTGGCAACGTTGGAGCCGGGTAGAGTTTTTTCTTCCTCGAGTGGCTGAGGGAAGTTCTCATCCATCCGTCTCTTGACATAATTCTCCTAAATCTTCGGCTTAACTTCCATAAACCTAGGGAAGCACCAGCTAACGAGCCCTTCAAACTGCATTCACCACCACAACAGCCTCCTGAAACACCATCTAACCAACGACAAAAAACTTCCAGCCCTCGTCCAGCGGCTACAAATAGATATAACCGCACGCTAAAAAGCTGTGAGAGCTCTTTCGCCCACAGAAACGGCCAAAAGTGGCCGTTTCGAGAGGTTCTTTCATGCAGCGGACGCCAGGGGATGATGTGCTGTACTGATGCATGGTTCGCAAGATTAAACAAATACTAAACGTAAACGGCTGCCTTACCGCAGTAATCGAGTCGGGGATGTCGGTGGTGCCATCGGTGTGAGGCGCTTGTTGCGATCTGGGGTTGGCGATGTTATTGGAATCGTGGGTGTTGTTGGCGTGAATACATATCACTTCTGAATTGCTGTTGAGTGGACGGAGAATTTCAAGGAAATTGCTGCCAAGTCTGAGCCATAGCAAAGGATATGAAGCAATAGCGATAAGCGTAGCAATAAAAGTTATGGAGACTTCCCAGGACCGGTAAAAGCCGGAAAGAGAATCTTACAGATTTGGGATTCCTAATCCCATTTGCTGGATAACGTTAGAGAAGATAAGAACTGGTATTTTCTTTAAATAATAGTCGTGAAGTTTATACCTTGCACTCAAAGGCGATAATGTTAAATATGAGAGTTCCAGCAGTTAATGATTTTAGGGTGGTCGATCGCACAAAATCTCCGATATTGTCAAGCTTTTGCCAGGTGCCGTGCCAAGTCTCTCGGATTTGATGATACAACCAATTCCCAAAACAATGTCTCCGTAGATGTTCCTTGGGCGCCCACCACAACCTACGGCTGAAAAGTTGAATGTAGTGAGTGAAATACTCACTGAGTTCCTTATTGAACGTTGTTCATCATCCTGCAGGCCTCCCAGTCTGTCACTATGCCCGAATCCTGACGCAGTCTCACAGCAAGTGCCCTTTCGCGGCCATTCTAGTCGGGCCTGATAATGAGCATGCTGAACCTTTACTCGTCCGTCTTGCTGAAACCCACTTCACCCCGGAGTATCTCTGGACATGCACTTTTTACTCGATGTGGAAGCCATGTGCAATGTGCGCTGCAACATGTTACTGGGGGAACATAGGGGACGTGGTGTACGCCTCGGGTGAAACAAAGTTACTTGAATCGATAGGCAAAAGAAACAAGGAGAATACGACATTGAGCCTGCCATGTAGGGACGTGTTCGTCACAGCCCAAAAGGACACGCAGGTTGTAGCCAATTGAAGGGTGGGAAGTACAGATTGCAGAGCAGAGTGGCAAATATTGGAAACTGATACGAGAAACGGTGTCTGCATGAAGAGCTGTCATGGTTTGTAGCCCTTCATAATCCTCTCCACCATCTGAATCCCCATTCGCTCGTCTGCGTCGGGCAGTTTCTGGCTCGCTTTCTTTTCGTGATCTTGTCTCTCTTGAATCATACCTGATCCCTTCATGATCTTCTCCATCAATTGTATGCCTTTGAGCTCTTGCAATGGTGGCAGCGTCTCCAGCATGTCCCGCTTCAGCTTCTCCCACAGAATCCCGCAATCTGGCTTCGCGCGGCATTTGCTTTCGATAACTTCGTCTGGTGTAATGATGAGGTCGCATGGAGTATCCCATTCCTTGAGCTGGAACTTGGCTGTCGTCGGACCCGTTTCGACGATTTGGCATCCATGCACTACAACTGCTACTGGTGTGCTCGGTTCCACCATCTTTCTGTCTACAAACATGCCCCACTGGAGGTCAAACCAGCCATGACCTTTGCCAAACCTCATGCCATCTAGGGTTACTGCTGCTGCACCCGTGACGCAGAGATCAAGGTGAATGTCCGCTTCCTGGATTTGCGACCACGTAACATGCTGGCCAATGCCTGGCCTCTCCATACCGTCGAGTAGGCTTGCTATCTCGAGCTGAGCTTCGCCGATTCTTCGCGGGTCTAGGAGCACAAAGCCTCTGCGGAGCCCGTACGTTGATACTAGAACCATCTTTCCATCGCGAAGGGCGCGGAACCGGAGCTCTTCGAGACAATTGTCGGGCTCAACGAAGAGCGTCGACGCATATTGATAACAGGGGAGTTCGACAAGACGATCAATGGCAGATGACGAGCCGCGAAAATCGGGAATGAAGGATGCAATGTCATAGTTCCAGCGCGAGTCGGGGAGAGCATACTGGAGGAGGTTTGACCACACCCGGTGGCGGAGGACGTACTTTGAGTCAGGGGGTTGCGAGGCCATTTTGAGAGCTCAAGGTCGTTGAGACTCCCGAGCTGGGCCGGGAAACAGGAACGCGAGAGCGATGCATGGTGGGCTGCACGGAATAGTATGAGAGCTCGACGGTGTGGGGGTTCTAAGCGTGGTGCGGGATTATGTAATCTGCGATGTCGTCTCGCAGCCTTGCGGGCCATCTATGTATAATTTGAGTCTATATATAATTTGAAGAAGTCTATCTCCCTAACTACCTTCTTATACCTACTGATATAAGGTTTGTTAGATCTGAAAACCCCGCTAGTATATCCTCCTACTTTTTACAGCAATTTCGGCCTGTAGCCGTTCTTATCACCGTCCAAAGTTGACACTTTTTGTCCGTGCCGCTGCCTTATACCTAGTGTGCATTTTACCTATGCGGCACCTTCAGAGTAACCTTATTCCGCTAATGTCTGCTGTTATTTCTACCCCATTTCCTCTTTTTCTTCGTCTTCTCTTTTTCTTTCCCTATACTCTCTCTCCAACTAATCTACCTTTTCCTCGCTGGCCAACCAATTCAATTCTCTGAGAACACCTGCAGCATTCCACCTTACAGGGGGTGTACAGTAGCCAGAGCGGGTTGGCCCCCCTCCCTGCTGTTGGCGGCATAATATCGCCACCGCAGACCCGTTTCCACAGACGGATCACAGCTAGGGGATAACTTTACACCTTTATGCTGCTGACAGTGTTCTACACTGGCATAACGCAACTCACAACATCACTCTCAATGACGAAGAGATTGAAGCACCATCTCTTAATAAGAACACATGAGGGCCGCATTTCCTCAAAAAGGATAGAGCAAGAGCGGGCCAGCCCCCCTCACCGTTAGTGTCGCCCCTTGGCCGAATCCCGTGTGCGACTACATGACTAATCGGGAGGATTGAGTGGTATCAGCTGAATGTAACAAGTCGTCCGCCAGCTGTAAAGCATATGTACTATTCTGTACGTAAATTAACTATTGGTTGATTATTCGCACCTTTTTGGTTGAATTAGCGGAGTGGTACAGAGCTCCATCCTTGCACGAGTCCCCAAACTCACCAAAGTTGGAAAATTTTTGCACCCTGATATCTCAACAACAGCATAATAATAAATTCTAAAATTTGATAACTAACCTCCTATGCTTCCTATAAGAATCTAGTTCACCTTTAAAAGCTTTTTGTTCACCAAATCTTAAGAAATAGCAGTTTAGGTAAGTTTAGAGGCTAGAAACTTAATTTCTTAATAACAGCCAGTGTAAGGCCGCTAGTCTAGTCCTTACGCGCGACAGGTATATATACTATTCCGTACGCAGATCAACTGTTGGTTGATGTGGAGGATAAAATAGCTTGGCTGTTCAGAAGATCGGATAAAGTGACTCTGCTATCTAACAGAGTTGAAGGCTCTCCTTATATACACCGAGCTTCGGAACATACTATCTCCAGATCCCGAGCCGCGTGCCAGGCTCCGAGCCCTAGCCAAGGCTCTTAGTATACGCGACAGTTGATTATTCGCACCGTTTTTGGCTGTATTGGCGCAGTGGTGCAGAGCTCCGTCCTTACAGCCAGGTCTATTACTATAGAACCTTGAACAGGAATCTTAAAATAGGTATTTAAGACTAGGGATAGATTTTTACACTTTATGATTAAGGTGTTATTAAGATATTAAAGTACAATTTCCCCCATTTTTTGTTGGTTTTGGGACTGACTGGTAAACTATGTTACATGTAAGCGCCAAGCGTACTGGCACGCCACAGCCAAGCTTCGCAGCCAGTCTATCTCAGCCTCGTGATATTTTTTCTGCCTGGTCAAGCTGACGATGGACCAGATGCTTCTGCGCTGCGGGCTTAGGGGCTTGCCTGATAATCTCCTGGGAAGTCTGCATTTCGATACACGTCCATTACCCCCAAAGTGTCGAGACGATGGCCGAAGCTCTAGCGGTGGTCGGCATAATCGCTAACATAATTCAACTGGTCGACTTCGGCACCCGGGTTCTAGATCGGCTTAACCAATATCAATCTACGGTCGTGGAGATCCCGGAAGCATTCCGTCACATCAAATCTGAGTTGCCCGTAGTACTAGATGCCCTCCGTCAAACAAAGGCCGCGATTGATGCCGGATTGTTGCAAGATGAGAGCAAAAGGGCGCTTCTTCCAGCAGTAGAAGGGTGTAGCGAGCAGATAAAAGCGCTAGACGAAGTAATTAAGAAAACGTTGCCTGGATCAAGTGATTCGTGGGCTAGAAGAGGCAGGAAGGCCTTGTGGAGCCTTCGGTATGACGCCAAGATGGAGAAAATAACAGCAGTAATTCGAGGCTATGTCCAAACGCTGACATACCATGCGGCCACTTCATCGAAACCTTCAACAGGTAATTGCCCTTTTACGTCCTAAGGTAGCTTCGATCCACCCTAACCATCCATCACTAGGCTACACCCTACCGCCTCCCACCCCTTCCTCAACAGTCCCCTTCCGGCGCGACGACGACTTCGTTAGTCGCGACAGCCTCACCAAGATACGCCAGATCTCTGCGAGGCCTGCAGCGCGGGCGGCGCTGGTTGGTCTTGGCGGCGTTGGGTGAGCGCTGCAGCTTGCAACTGGAGAATCAATACTAACTGCCTGCACAGAAAATCTCAGATTGCCATTGAATATGCCTACCAAGTGCGGGACGAATCGCCAGATACGTGGGTATTTTGGGTGCATGCGGGCACTCAGGCGAGATTTGAGGAGGGATACCGCAGAATCGCCGAGGTGACGAGGATGGAGGGCTGGGACAATCCGAAGGCGGACGTTCTGCGGCTCGTCCGCAGCTGGCTGTGCAACGAGTCGAACGGACGTTGGGTGATGATCATTGACAATGCTGATGACTCAGATGTCTTCTTCCCGCCGCTCTCTAGACAACGAGCTGTCGCAGTGGGCAACCTGGGTCAAGCAGCGGAACCACTCTCAGACTTTCTGCCGCAATCGCTAAACGGGTCAATTCTTGTGACGTCTCGAAACCAAGACGTAGCATCCAGGTTGACGGACAGCTACGCTAGCGTTATTGAGGTCAAACTGATGGACGATGAGGATGCACTAGCTCTTCTTGAGAGGAAGCTTGGGGCTAGTGCAGACAAGAAGGATGCTGTCGAACTAGTCCACTTGCTCGACTGCATGCCCCTCGCTATCACGCAGGCGGCGGCTTTCGTTAAGCAGAGAGCGCCACGCATGACGATCTCACGATATGTAGAGGAAGTGTGCAGAAGCGACCACGACCGGACTCGCTTGCTGAAAAATGACATGGGAGACAGCCGCAGAGACGGCAGGGCGTCTAACTCCATCATCGCGACCTGGCAGATCTCATTCGAGCATATCCGGACTAATATGCCGACGGCTGCTCGACTGCTGTCGCTGATGAGTCTCTTCGACCACCAGGGGATTCTGGAGTCGCTTCTTCACGACCGGTACCAGTTGGATGAGGATGAGGATGTCGATTTTGAAAATGACATCCATACGCTAATTAGCTATTCCCTAGTTAAGATGAGCACGGACGGAAGCGAGTTTGAGATGCACCGGCTGGTGCAGTTCTCGACTAAGATGTGGCTGGCGCTGAACAACGAGCTGGAGCTGTGGAAGGCGACGTATTCAGCGCTCATGGACGAAAGCTACCCGGTGGGGCGACCTGAAAACTGGCCAGTGTGCCAGGCGCTGTTTCCGCACGTTCAAGCGGTGGTGAACAGCCAGCCGAAGGACGCAAAAGCGCTAGAGGCCTGGGCGTCAGTGCTCTTTAAAGCGGCATGGTATGCAACCGAGATGGGACAGTATAACAAGGCGTACGAGATGGGTTCTGCCGCTTTCCAAGTTAGGGAGACTATTTTAGGAGCAGAACACCCAGATACGCTCAACAGCCTCAACAGCCTTGGAGTAGTCGTGGAACGCCAAGGCCGGTATAGTGCAGCAGAGGCGATGCATCAAAGAGGACTGGAAGCGAAAGAGCGGGTACTTGGGGCGGACCATCCCTCCATGCTTACTAGCATGGCCAACCTGGCGTCGACGTACAGGAACCAAGGGCGGTGGAAGGATGCTGAAGAGCTGGAGGTGCAAGTAATGGAGACTCGCAAGACGAAGCTTGGGGGGGACCATCCCGACACGCTGACCAGCATGGCCAACCTGGCGTCGACGTACTGGAAACAAGGGCGGTGGAAGGATGCCGAAGAGCTGGACG